AATCAGTAACTCTTTTAATAAAATTGATATCAATAATTAATAATAATAATTGATTCAGAATATCTTAATCTTCTACTTTTTATTTGATTTTTAAAATTTAACTAAGATTGTTAATGTCTACTTTTATTATTTATGCTATTTATTGAAATAGTTTCATTTCAACTATTTAATTTTTATTGATTTAACTATCCTATAATAATGTATATAGTAAAATTTGAAATAAATCATCTATTTAAGAATGATCATAATATTGAATTAGATCGAAAAGTGGAATCAATATTTTAATACCACCATATTCTACAAAATCATATTTTTATAATGAAGATGTCATTTTTGTATCACCTTAAAGTTCATAAACTACATTTTAAATTCTATCATTCACTCTCTTTTTTTAATGAGGATCATATAAAGGATATATTTGATAAAAAGGAGATTTCAAATGTAGATCTACAACTTCATTATAAACTGATATCTCTTTGACTTTGCATTCTATATTCTAAAAGTAAACAATCTCAAGATTTTGATTCCTAATTTTTGGATACTCAATCTATATAGTATTTTTTATCTGATTAATTGAATATATAAACTTTGGTCTGGAATATAGTTTTCCACATTCATGTGAAATAATTAGTTCGTTCCATCCATTCATTATGACTTCTCCCAATTTATTATTAGAAGAGTAATCTTCTACAATAACTTTTTCTAGAGTAAACCTTTGATATATATTCTTATAAAAGACTACACCAGCCATTATATAACAATGAACTCCATTAGCTATAATTCTTTTGCCATCAATATGTGAGGATGAAAATTAGAATAATGTTCCATCTCCTTAAGGATTGAATGTTAAGGAGATAGAATATTACTTTTCAAAATGCCATTAAGATTGATTGATAAGTTTTATTCCTCCATTGTTGATGACGAATTGATCTTCATTCTTCTCTTACTTCAGATACTCATACAAACCCTTAATGAATTCAGACATTGTTTATGGGTTGTATGTACTATTGGCATATTCATTAGATAATTCATGAAAGTACTTTAACATGAGTATATATTAATCATAGAAATTGTTAAATAGTCTTCCGAATTGATCTTTTTTTCATTACATTCTCAGCATCCTTCTAACTAATCTTTGCTAATAAATCAACTCTAGTCAGATTGGCTACATCATCAAGATTTCCATCATGTGATACTTGTACTGATTATAATCTATCCTTCATTTTTACTTCTTCATTCTTTTTCTTCGTGATATTACTCTCTTCCTCCTCTAATTAATCTAAATCTCTTATTGGAATCATTGGAGCCTCTTGATTTCTAATATTATTCCAATCAATTCCATTAAAAAATTTATGACATTTAACTTCTTCAGCACCTTTATGTCCAAATCTTTTATGGAATTATGGTTCCAATAATGAATTAATTAAATCATATGCTTCCTAACTCATCATATCTTCTCCACTACCTATATCTGGCCATTCAATTGTTCTATTCATTATATTCTCAAACACTTTTGGAATACTAGAATCATTAAATGGAGGAATGCCTACTAAAAATTCATATGCTATCACTCCAAAAGCCCACCAATCTATTGAAAAATTTGATATAGATAATCCACATATAACTTCAGGTGGAATATAATCAGGAGTTCCAATAATTCTATTCTATCTTTTTCCTGATTAAGTTCGTTCTTATATACTAGTCTTACTAGTACTCTTTTATATATGAAATTCAATATTGCTTTTAGTTTTAATGTTTCTTTTTGAAACATTCATTGGTAATGCTTCAGGATCAATTGAACAATTTATTCCATCCTTTCCTTCCCTTATTTTTTATACTAAAGCAATTTCAGATAATCCAAAATCAGCTAATTTTAGATGACCCTATGCATCTAACAATATATTTTATGGTTTTAAATCTCTATGAATTATTCCTTTTTTATGTAATGATTCAATTGCTAATAACAATTCAGCTAAATAAAATTTTGCCACTGATTCTGAAATACGACCATATTAATATAGAACTTAACTAAAATCACCCCCCATCATGTATTCTAACAAGAACAATAAACAATTGTCTTAAATAAATGAATAATATGCTTTTACTACAAAATCACCTTCTAAAATTTCAAATACATTTTTTTCTGCTCTTAAATTCTATATTTCATTCATATTCTTATTTCTACAATCTATGACCTTCATTGCATAATAATCTTTTGTCTTCTTCTTACAAACCAACCATACTGCTCCAAATGCTCCAACACCCAATACTTGAATAAATTCAAAGTCTTATAGAGTTACATTTAATCTAATATATATATAAATAATTTATATTTTACAATTATTTATTCTTGACTAATTTAGTTGTTTTGAAATCTCCATCACTATAATATCCTTTAACTTTTTATTCTTTTTCATTATCAAAATCACATTTATTCATTTCATTTTATTAATTTAAATCCTTAAATGAAATCATATTACTTTTTGATTATTATACTTAATTTTCCATTTCAAAAGATTCTTCTAATGATTTTTTAGTAATATTTTTTTTGACTTCTTTAGATACCACATCATCAGAATCTGATTAATTACTACTTTATCCTCCATCTTCAGATTCACTTAGACATTTCTAAAAGATACAATCTTTTCCTACACCTTCAGTAAAAGTTTTCGATTACACCTATTTGTTGTTATCAAAATTGGATATGATATTTTATTTATTTAACCATTTAGAACCATTACCACTATTTTTTAACATTTCAAAATGCTCTTGTAATGAATTTCCTAAAGAAGTTCTACGATTCCCTATTTCAACATTATTGATATTTTTTAGACGAAGTGGAGATGTAAGATTATCTAGTTTCTCTTCATCAGAAATCAATTTTTATAATCTCGATATTTTTTATGTACATTAAACCTTTTCCTAAAATAATATAATATTTCAATTCTACTTCAATTAGTTTCAAAGTCATTTTTACAAGATCTTGAACTTCTTTTTAGAGTGTATATTTAATATTGAATAACTCAACTTGTATTTTGAGATCAAATTAAATTGATTAAGTACCATGATGTGTTTTAAGAGTTTCTTCAGTATATTTAGTAATTATAGAGAGTGAGTTTAACTGTTATCTCAAATCTTTTAAAATTTCTGTATTATCACTAAATTATATTGATAATAATTTACTCAAGAGAGAATGGACTTCCCATACCATTTGATATTGGGGAACTTATTTATTTAATTTCTGGAGAAGGAGAATATACTAACTTATTACCTTGTTTCTATTATTCTATTTTCTTTGTTAACTTAATCTATTGTTTCATTATTTGATCAAAATCCTCTCCTGTAATATTTTATTAAACAATCTAAATTACAGATTCTTACTCTGTCTATTCTTCAGATACCTCATTATTTGCTAAGTTTGCTCCTAAATTTGCAAACCTTGATTTGACTGTACACTAAAATTATACAAAAGTTTACACTAACCTTGTTTGTTCTTGAACCCGTTTCTTCACTTGTACAATCTTCTGGTTAATTCAATTTTAATGGAGCACTACTCCTCATTCCTTTATTATCTTGATTTGTATATCTAGCCTGTTTGGACTTATGAATTTGATATTTTGTATTAATTGTACGAAAGCTATTCTATGCCAACTCAGCTAACTTTTGTATTTACACATCTAATTAATGCAATTACTTTCTAGACTCAAAGATTTGTTAGCAATTAACTAAATGATTCTCAATCAAAGAAGCATCTGTCTATAATTGTAATAGCATACACATACTTATTTTTCACAGATTCTACACATTACTAATAGATCTTCATTACTCTAAACTTCAGCAATCATAAATATATAAATTTATTATAAACTCAATGATTCTTCATTATCAATTTAATCATTTTAATTGACTTTCATTTACTCTTTAAACAAATGTCTGTTGTCATATTTAATTTAATGTAAATTATACTACTTTAATATTTTATTGTTACTTATGATTAATTTTATATCATACTTATATTACATTCTCCAGCAAACTAATATTAATTATTTACTATAATATTATTTAATTTCGAAAGAATTCATTTTAGAATAATAATCTTCTATTTTCTAATGTACATAATTATTATAGTCACTTTTCTAAATTTAATATTAAGTCTTTTATATATATAGAATAAATTTGTAAATCATAGATATTTATAAATATTTTTATCAACAATTTAATTAAATTCCATTTTGAAGAAAGCCAAAGAAAAGAAGATGTTTTTTAAAATTATTTCTATATTTTATTATTATATTTGATAAAACAATAATGAAAGTCTTTATAATTATAATCTATTGTAGAATAAATATATTTACATATAAAAAATAGTTCTTACCTAAATAGTGACTTTAATCAATTTCTTTTTGAATATTTTTTCTATTTTTGTATATTTTATGAAATTATTTTAGAACATTATTGTTATTAAAGTTATACTGAAAGTCTCTTTCATAAAAATATGATACTCAATAGATTATTTATACACTTTTATTCAATGGACATTAAGGTTTTAGATATTACAATTATTAAATCTAGTTCCATCCTTTAATTGTTGAGTTATATTTATTTAAAATAGCCTATGTATTAGATTCTTTTGAAAAGATTATGAATATATATTTCTAAAGAAATGCTTAGGCTATTATATTCTTATATCTAAAAGGCTTATTAGATAATTTGTTATCAAAATATCTCAATATAATCAAATCAATTATACTTCAATTTTATGTTTATATAAATTGATAAATGATTATTTCTATTAAATTATATATTTTCTAATTTAATCATTTGAATAACATATATATCGAAACTTTTGAATTCCAAATGGATTAATATTTTTTATAATTCGAAATTAACATATGAATTTTCTGCGAGTTTTTGTCATGATAATTTCATATAATTTTATCATATTGATTTTAAATATATTATATAAATTCTTAAAATCATTAATTTCTTCAAATTATAATTCAAAGTTGTGTAGGCAAACGCATTGACAATCTAATTTTATAAATAACTTATACCTAATAGGGGCAGTTCGCTTTCTAACTCTGGATGTTAGTGTCTAGCCTTCAGTATTTGGAATTTGAGATTCCGATTTAGATTGTACATTAGTCTACAATAAGGAAAGTCGATTTTCAAAAAGTAGTTTAGTTCTTTGTGTGTTGTTCTCATCAAATTCCTAAATTAATTTAGGAGAAATCATAATGTATGGTTTTTTCATTATTGATGTTGACTTTTATAAAGGTTGAATACTTGGCTAATTGTTGTGTTTTCTTTATGGATTATAAATGATATTACCTTGAAATCGGTATAGTATTAAGAATAAAGGAAGTACTTGAGGTAGTAGTTTTGTTGCTTGAAATCGACTTTGAAGATTTCATTAAATTAATAAATAAACAATTTAAACCTGAAATTAAAACAGGTAAACTCCTTATTATTGTTAGATTTATTTTTTATTATTATTTCTTATTTAAATGAAACAAATATGTATTAGATTACGTTATTCATCAAAAATATAGTTATTATAGCAAAGTATTGTATTGTGAATAATCTAGATTTATTTATTTAAATACTGTGTTAAGCTTTAAGTAATGAAGATTCAAATAAGAATAAATGAGACATTATTTTTGAGATTTTTAAAGGATTTGATAAAGTTTATTATATTTTAAAAGATAATAATATAAGAGAAATAATATGATAATTATTAGAATATAATAAAAAATGAAAGAAATAGAAATTAAAATAAATAAGAAAAAATAAAATTTATTTGAATATATTTATATATTTTATTGAATAATCAATCTTTTGCTGCTCTGTAAATTTTATTTGCTGCATCTTCTAGTAAACCTAATAATGATTCTTGAGATTCTTCTCTAAGTTTCTTCTCTTCCTCAATTTCACTCTTTACTCTTGATACTAGATCTTTGAGCATCTCAAATATGGCTGTTTCTGATTCTTCTCTAAGAATATGCTATAATCTAATAGATACCTCAATTTCTTTTAATTTCCTAAACCTTCATTAAGACGACGTATTTCATCTCCTGCTCTTCTCAAAGTTCCATTGTCATTGTCTTCTCTATCTTATCCTTCTGTTTTCACCATGTCATATAATTTTGGTAGATCATTCTCTAAAGATGTAGTAATGTTCTCTATCTATTCTTATCTGATCTTTCCTTCAGTTTAAATATCAGATTTCAAGTAAACAACCTAATAAATTATTATGATTTATTCAATACCTTCTCATCCAAATATCCTTGTAATTTTAGATTACCATCTCTTCTTAATGCAATTTCCTATTCCAATTTAGTTGTGATACGACTTTCAAATGCTGCTATCTCTCTTACTCTTTGTTCAAATTGAGTTTCAAATGCATTATTTTCTTCCTCAATTTATTTCTACAAACGAACTATTTCATCTTTTAATGAATGCTAAAAAGATTTATATATCATAAAATTACAAGTTTTCTGTTGTAAGATGTGATTGTGTCTTGAGTTCTTTCTTCAACTGCTGTAATTCTTCCACATATTGTATCAATTCTATGAGCCTTAGATTAATCATGTTATAATGGAATAGAATTTAATTTCTCTTAAATTTTATGGAAGCGTTCATTGAAGGGTGTATTTGGATTCATTTTAATAACAAATTTATTTAAAAAATAATATTTAATCAAATATGGCTCAAATAGAGGAAGAACATAAGTTAATATAATTAGAAATCAAGTATACTACAGAAATTCACAAAAATGTACCTATTGATCTTAATGGAACTGTACTCAAATTTTAAGAGACACTTGAAGAAATTCTCAAAGTTCCCATTCAAAAATAAAAGATTATGATCAAAGGATCTCTCTTGAAATAAGACTAAGATCTTTCTAAATTGAATCTCAAAAATGTATAAAGCATTTATATCTTAGGGTTAATAAATTATGGTTATGGGTGCAAGAGAAGAGCATCTTTTAAATTTGAAATAGGGTAAGAAAATCTTTGAAGAAGATCTCACTCCAGAATAGAAGGCTATCTTATTGAAATAGAAAGCAGGAGTATGATATTAAATACAAACATATTAGATTGTTTTACCAATAGGATTAGTCAATTAAGGAAATACATGTTATATGAATGCCTCAATTTAAATTTTGAGAAGAGTTAATGAGTTGAATGAATACGTAAAGAATAATGCAAAGTAAGGATAAGGACCTAGTGTTAAATTATTTAATGCATTAAATGATGTCTTCTAATAACTTGAAAGTAAAGGTGAATCATTTAAACCATTTAATTTTCTTAGCGTAATTAATTTCTAAAATATGTCTAGATTCTCTTTTAGTTATATCCAGAATTCGCTTAAAGAGAAAACCATATGTCATTTAAATAATAGGATGCTGATGAATGTTTTTAAAATATTCTTTAAACAATTGAACCATTAACTACATATGAGAATGAGGAGGGATTATAAAAAAATTTAATTAAAGATCTATTTGAAATTGAATTAAAATCAACAATTGAGAATTAAGATCTTCCAGATGAACCTAAAAAAGTGAGTATTGAAAAAGGAAAGAAATTAATGTGTATAATTGATAACCAAAGTAGACCAGTTAGTACTTTAATAGAAGGTATTACAGTGAGTTTGGAAGAATAATTAGAGAAAATTTCTGAAATAGATCAACAAACTCATATCTATAAAAAAACACAAAGAATTTTTAAATTAGTAAGATATATTGTTTATATTATTAAAGCCAAGTTATTTATTATGTTAAATGGTTAGATTTTATTGGAAATAAGGAGTATAAGGTAAGGAAGGAGTTAAGGCTAAAATATTGAGAAATGTTGCATTCCCAAAAATTTTAGATTTATTTGACTTCTGTGCTCCTGAATTATAAGAATAATTATTAGCAGGAAGAGAATATGAGAAAAAGAAACTTTTGGAGATGGCTGCTAAAGAGACTGATGAATTAGAATAATTTAAGAAAGATTTAGAGGCATCTGGAAAGATGATACCTGATGATACAAGAGAAATTTATAAATTATTTAAGGCTAAAAAATAATAAGAAGAAATAAAGAATCATGATGATTAGTTATATAGAAAACATGGATTTGGATTAGTTACAGGAAATTATGAGTTAATTGGAGTTTTAAGTAATTAATTATTTAATTAATAGCTCATACTGGAAGAGAGGCTGATTCTGGACATTATATGGCATGGGTTCATCATTCAGGTGATAATTGGATATAGTATGATGATGAAAAGACATTTGAAAAGAAAATAGAACAAATTATGGAATTAAGAGGTGGTGGAGATTGGCATATGGGTTATTATCTACTGTATAGAAGATTAGAAATTGAGTGATATTATAAAAATGAATAATTATCATTATTTATTCAAGTTCATTATTGTAGGAGAATCAAGTAACTGAATGAATTAAGTTAGATGTTGGAAAGAGTTGTTTATTGTTATAATACACAGAAGCCAGATTCCAAGTTGGATATGATGCTACCATTGGGGTTGAATATGGATCTAAAGAAGTTATCTATGATGATAAACTAATTAAATTATAGCTATGGGATACGGTATTATTTAATTATATTCAGGCAGGCTAAGAGTCCTTTCGTTCTATAACTAGAGCATATTATAGGGGGTATTAAAAATCATTTTTATATGTATAGATCGATTGGTTGTTTCTTGGTTTATGATATTACAAGGAGAATAACATTTGATAGAATTTAAACATGGGTTAAAGATGTGAAATAAGACACTAATAATAGAATTGAATTTTTATTAGTAGGCAACAAATGTGATTTAAAAGATAGAAAAGTTAGTTATGATGAAGGAAAATAATTATCAATCCAATTAGGATGTTAATTCTAAGAGACTTCTGCAAAAACTGGAGAAAATGTAGAATTTATATTTGAATCTTTAACAAAGAAAATTTACTAAAACATTAAATCTAATTAAATTGATCCTCATGATCCAAATCATGGAATCAAAATAGGAAAGATTGGAGAAAATGAAAAAGTAACAGAAATTCCTAACTAGAAAAAAAGAAGTATTTGTTGTTGAATATAATCACATAATCAATCAATTTAAAATGTTAAAATATATTATATTAATATCTAAATTCATTTCTTTTTGATCAATAGAACACTAACTAAGTTTTCTCTTTGAATAATTAATGTACACTCTCTTATTTTACTTAAGTAAATTTAATTTTTAGAAAGATGAATTTTATAATTGAAGTTTTGTTCAAAAATTGAATCTCTATAGTTAACTACCTCATAATAAGAATTTTATATAGCATTTTGATTGCCTGTCTCTGCTATCTATTTCTTAGTTTGAGTTATATTTTATGGAGTGTAATGTTTATCACTTAGAATTCAAAAATAATAACCTTCATAAATGGCTTTTGTTGTTAAAGTGTCAAGAAACAAAACTTGAATATTAAATATCTTGTCTCATTAATATTATTTAAAGGTTCTTTCTTCATAAATGAAATACTTCATCTTTTATTATGGAAGCTGGTGGTAATCTCTTTTATGAAATAATGATTGGATATCATCTTTTTATAGAAAAGAAAGATTAAGTTCTTGAATATTTAGATTTCATAAAATTTGAAGCTGAAATAGCTTTAAATAATGTAAAGTGAAAACATTCAAGTGTTTAAAACATATTGAAGGTTTTTTAAATCAACTCAAAACATTTAAATGATAAATCTTAATATTTTATACTCTATATTTTCATTTGGGGAAATCCTACTTTAAAATTGAGAGAATTTCATCAAAATTTCTAATTTTATTATACTCAAATACTTAACGATTTAATTTTAAGAACCAATTAGAGCTCGATTTTATTTTAAGTATGTTGATAAAATCTACTCTTTTAATCTTACTAATTCTGGAATGAATTAATAATTTTCTTATTAATTTTCTTCATGGATACTTGAACTACTTTTTTTGACTATTTTTGAAGAATATTATTTATTCTTATTATTTAAATTTTAATTATTTGTTGCACTCTATTGATTAGTAAGTTTGGATTAATCTATTTATGATATTTTCATAGGGTTCTATAGTGATTATTCTTTAAATACAAGAGGTGATGATTTTGTTTAATTTCCTGTATTAATTTTTGTTGTTTATGGTTTATGGTAATTATAATTATTTTATTTCTTGCCTTTGTTATTTTTCCTCATTTCTTGGCTTTCTTTATTTAAAAATTTAATACATTAATCTTTGTTATTCTTGTTAGGAACAATAAGATGGATAGGAGTTTTAACCTACTTAGTTTTATTGTTTTAAATGTATGGTTCTGTTTCTTCACTAAACAAGACATCTTCCTCTATAATGATATGAGGTTTGTTGGATTCCTTGTTTTGATTATCCAATTATTATGCTGAACGTACATCATTAATAAATTAAGAAGGTACAACTACATTTGAACTTGAATGTAAAGATGATGAATTTTTTTGATGCATCCAAGTTGCAATTAAATTTTCAACCTTTTAGTTCTATGAACTTAAATTCAACTAATAGAATATTTTTCATTATTTACTTGTTTTTCAACAGAAAAAGATTGTGCTTTATTTCTATGTCTTGGATTTTCTATAGAAAATTGTAATTATCTTTAATAGGTTTATGGTCTTTCATTTGAAAGATTTCTAGAACGAGAAGATTATTAAACTAAAATGGATGCCTTTAAGTTTTCTAATTCTTCTAATTAAGTTGATTAGTGCTAAGATAATAATAACATTTATTATTACTATAAAATTAAATTATAAAATTACAATAATTTCATAAAGATTAAAGCATCTCTTTTGAAGATTATGGAATCTTGATTATTTCATAACTTAAATATATACTTTAATCGAGAATAAAAATAATTTTTGAGATTATTTAAATTTTCTTTATATAAGTTGTGCATTCTTGATGGATTTACCTCCTCTCTCTGAATTAGAATTGTAAAATATCTATGCTTGGGTAAATAACAAAATCATAATTTCAGATCGATAAAATTCCACTTTCAAGACCAAAGAAGAATATTCAAAGAGATTTTGCAGATGGAGCCATGGTAGCTGAAATTGTTTATCATTACCTTCCAAAATTAGTAGAAAAGCATAATTACCCTTAAGCTCATAGTGTATAATAAAAGTAATATAATTGGAGCACTCTCAATTTAAAAGTACACAAATATATAATTATTAGGTATTCAAAAAACTTGGATTTCAATTATCCAAAAATGATATTGATAGTGTTATTGCTTGTTCACCTGAAGCTGTTGAAAGAGTGTTAAAGTTGTTATAAATTAAAATAGAAAAATATTTTGAATAATAAAAAGAATTAGAAAAGAAAGCCCTTGAATAATAAAAATAATAGTAATAATAATAGCAACAAAAATAGTAGGTGTAGGAAGATCCCCTACAAAACTAAGATTTAAGATTTATTTTGGCTGAAAAAAATTAAGCAATTACAGAGCTGAAAGAAACTGTCGAAATTTTATAATTAAAAGTTAAGAAACTTGAATAACTATTACAAATCAAAGATAATAAAATTTAAGGATTAATCAATCAATTACAAGGTAAATAATGAATTCTTATTATTTTCAATTCTTTATAACATATATATATATTGCTGATAGATTTATATTATTTATAAGCAATTTGAATCTAATATAATTATTATATTATATATTTTAAAAAATTGAAATTGAAATAGACTTATGTCTAGTTTAAATGATGAAGAAAGCGATGTATAAGATGTTGATATAATTGATGAATATATTAGTAATTACACTAGTTAAAAATCAAGTCAACATCCTTATTAAGAATCACCAGATGATTATGAAAGAGTAGTTGATGAAGAAGTTAAATCAGAAGATAATAATCGATCACATTAGGAATCTGTTTCTAATAAATTTTAACTTAATTAGAGATAAATTTTGAATTGGAGAACTGCTGAAGATGAAGAATTTGTTAAATTATGCATGATGTAGGGATCAATGATGAATGAAAAAATAATGAATTAAAGAAAGAAGCTTAAGGATCATTTCAAAGAATTTTAGAATGTAATTTTATTAAATATCATTTATAGACTATAAATGCTGCAAGAAGTAATTTAAAAGATTATGATATGCCATATCAAACTGCTCACTTTCCTTTATATCTAAAGACCTAAGAAAAATTTGTGATTTTACCAGCTTAAAATCTCAATATTAGGAAAGGAACATTAGAATCATTCATTAAGACAAATTTGGAAAATGAAAACTCTGTGAAGAAGGCAGAATAAGATAGAAGAGTGGCATTTAAATAGCGTAGACCATATTAGAAAAGAAAATTCGATTCTTGAGGCATTATATTATCTTTCTTGTTTACATAAGTAATATCCATCAGAATATTATAATTTGTTATTAATATCTATTATTATTCTCTAATCATTATTAAACAAAAGTTGTATAATATATAATCAATGTTACATTCATATATAAAGTAATTATGTATAATAGACTTAATTTTATAAAATAAAGATAGCATTAAATGAATATAATATCTATTAATTTAAGAATTAAGGTATAGATAATATATATTTGATGCATAATTATATAATGATAGTACACAAATTTCATTAGTATTTCTTAAGAAAATTAACAAAAGAAGGAGTAGAATGTTGAAATTCTTTAATTATTATTAAATAATGGTGATGGGGAGTGTTTGATGTAAAAGATATATTAAACATGGTTAGGTAATAATTTAATAATTATATAAATGAATATCTTTTTATAAATCATATTATTAAAATAATATTTTCTTTAAAATTAGAATGTGTATTTAATAATTATTTTTAAATGGGAGTTTGTATTAGTAAAATTACATAGCCTTAACCTGAAATTACCATTGATCCCATGCCTATAGTATAACCTCAAAAGGGAAATTACTCGATGAATAGTTTACCTGCAGAAGTATGTAAAATGCAACTATATCACAAAGCCAAGAAGAGGGGATAAGAAACGTTAGGCTAAAATAGAAGTGTTGGAAGAGTAAATACATGAGAATGTAGTAAAATAGCAGAAAGAAAAATCTCCATTTGATTTTTAGATGATTTTAAATGCTTTCGGAAACCATTTTATGTTTGCTTAACTTGATAATAATGATAAGTAAAGATGAGTATTAAAGTTAGAGCTAAGCTAATTGATGATATGTATTATGTAACAGCCAAGAATACAGATTATATTTTTAAATAAGGGGACAAAGCAACATTATTTTTTATAATTGGTAGAACTTCATAATTAATAAGTAAGAAAGGGGAGATTGTAAAATAATCATAAATAATGAAGTAAAGAGAGTATTAAAGGCTCCAGAGTTTTTTGGTGAATTGGCTTTAATGTATCATGCACCACGATCTGCCTCTGTATAGGCAATAGGAGATTGTGGATTTTGGGTGTTAGAAAGAAAGAAATTTAGAAAAGCGGTTGAAGACATTCAATAAAAAGCTTATGAGACAAATAGAAAATTCTTAGATTAAGTTAAATTTTTCGGTATTGTGTTGTTTATTAAATATTAAGACTTTATGACTGAAGAATAGAGAGATAGTATAGCAAATGTGTTAATAACATTGAAATTTAAATAGGGTGAATTAATAGTTAATGAAGGTGATATGGCAAATTCATTCTATATTATACAAAAAGGGATTGTATCAGTTACAAAATAGGGATAATTTTTAAGATATATGAATTAAGGAGATTCATTTGGTGAATAAGCTTTATTTGGTAATTGTGTAAGAGGAGCAACTGTAAAAGCAAATGATGAAGATGTTAATTTATTATCATTAAGTAGAGAAGATATTACAACTATATTGGGTGAGAAGATTCAGGTACAATAATTGTATTTATTTAGTTGCATAGTTAATCATTTATACAAATATGTAGAAATGGGCATTTGAAAAACATCCTTAATTAAGAGATCTTACTAAAATGTAAATATAAAAAATAGTATCAAATTTTAAAATTAAAACATATGAAAGTAAAGAATATTTATTCTCGAAAAATTAAATGATTGATAAATTAATTATTATTCTTGATGGTTAATTAGAGTTTGATGGATAAATTTATAATAATGGTCAATTATTTGGTGATAAATTCCTTTAAGTTGAAGAATCTAAACGAAAAATTAGTTCAGATATTGTAACAACTCGTAAAACAACTTTATCTGTACTTACATTTAAATAGTTTTTTGAATGTATTGGAGGAGAATTAGAAACTGTTGTTAAGAAAAATAAAGACAGAGCTGGATCTTCAAGTTTATTGGAAAAAAGATAAAAAAGCAATTATTCTCTTTTTACTTTAGAAGATTTCATAGGATTATAACTTTTAGGAGAAGGCACTTTTGGAAATGCTTATTTAGTTAAAGATATTCCATAATAAAATTTACATGTTATGAAATGTATTCCAAAAGTAAATATTATTGCAAATAATACTGAAAGACACATGAAAAATGAGAAATAAGTTTTAGAATTGTTAAATCATCCTAGTTTAGTATGTTTTCATAGATCATTTAAAGATTAAAATTATATATATTTATTGACTGAATATGTTAAAGGGAAAGAACTATTTCATGTTATTAGAGATCTTGGTTTGTTGAATTCTTATGAGACTCAATTTTATATTGCTTAGATGATTAATATATTAGAAAAACTTCATTCCTATCATATTATATATAGAGATGTTAAACCAGAAAATTTTATTGTTATGGAAAATGGGTATTTAAAACTTATAGATATGGGTACTGCCAAAGTCTTAAAATCTAGAGCTTCTAAAACTTACACTATTGTTGGCACACCTCATTATATGTCTCCTGAAATATTGAAAGGTAAAGGTTACACATTCTCTACTGATTTATGGTCTTTGGGAATTTGCTTTTTCGAATTAATGTGTGGAGAAGTTCCCTTTGCAGGAAATGAAGATGATGATCCGTATCAATCATTATTATTTAGATATATAATCTAAGAAGCCATTCTCAATGGGCGAGTAGAGTACCCTTAATTTTTAAAAGACTTTAAGGCTATTAAACTAATGGATTAATTGATGAATAGGACACCTGAATTAAGATTAGGAGGATCTTATGATGCTCTAAAAGTTCATTCATGGTTTGATGGATTTTAATGGGTAAATTATTCATTATTATAATTTTAAAGGAAGAATTAGAAATGTTGGAAATTAAACCTCCACATATTCCTAAACTTCAATAATCTAATTTTGAAGAAATTCCTTTTTTAGAAATGATTAAAAGAGATACAAGTCCTGATATGATCTGCACTGTAGTTGTTGATTGGGACTAAGAATTTTGAAATATACCTGCTCATTTATAATTATAAATCTTTTCTTATTATTAAACATATTATATCTCAAATTAATGTATCTTCCTTTTTTTTCTTCTTATACAAATAAAATCCAGCCCCAATACAAAACAAACCTCCAACAACACCCAACAAGATCCATAGCCATAAATAAGATTTCTCTGTTTTCTCAACATCAATATTAAGCATCAAAATTGCATTTTTGAAATGGTTCTTAACTTAAATATATTAAACGTCTGATTTAATGATTCCATTATAAACTATCTTTGGTGATTGAGTAACTTCATACATTGTCAATATACTATAGTTATAATTATTAAACAATAAATATTCCTATTAAATTTATAATAATTATAATTTACCTTATTATTTAATTTATAAGATATCAATTACTTTTCTATTCTATAAAATTGATTAGTAAATTCAATAGCTCCAAAGAATTATATAGGAAAGTTTTTCGAATAATTTTATGGAAGACGATAAGCTGCCAAAAATTTTGAACTGCTTCTCCAATCTTAATATAAGATTAATAGTAAATCATTTTACAATTATATAGTTGGAATATATTTCTCAAATAATATAAAATCTTCATATCCTTATATAACTGAAAACACTTCTTGATTTTTGAGTTAACATCCTGAATCATTACAAGTAAAATTATAATTCATTCCAAAATGAGCACCTTATTTTGCAAAAAACAAGAATTTCCCTTAAAATAGCTCATCTTCTAAATTAGTTGATAATACTTAAATTTCAACTAACTAATTATCCATATAATATTCTTTATTTAAATATTCTTTAACATCAATAACTAATTTATTAAATTAAATCAATTAATCATCTAAAATCTTTAATTCTTTTATTAATAATTATCCTTAGAAATTAAATGAGTATAGATTATAATGATTGGATTTAATCATGATAATTGTATTTGAATAATAATCTGGATCAAACTATATTTCACCAATAAATTTAGCCTTCTCAATTTCTAATATTGATTCTTTAATCCCATAAACATATAGAAAACTTTATCCTATACAAAAAAGAGTCTTTTCAAATATATATGCTTTTCTCAAAGAACTACTTATTGAAAGACCTTTACTACTTTCACATACTTGATTTTTGCAACTGATCCCAAATATTATTTCTTTTGTTCCTTAACTACAAGAGACTATATAATTTTAATTCTATGCATATAAAATTGATTTGCATTAGTAATTTTCATCTAAAAATTTAAATTCTTTAACAAGTTTTCCATTAGTTTTTTCTATCAAACTGTATGTATAATCAGAAAGAACAAACAATTTAGTTTCATCAAACTCCTTAACTGATCTAGAAACATTAAAAAATAAATGTTAAGTCTCATTAATAGGTTAAATAATCTTTATGTCATTAAGATTATTAATATTTAATGATTAGAATTTAATAACTTATCCTGAGTACCAATTAGATCCCATATCTTGAATCATATTATTATGCTTCTCATCTTTAAGTTTAGTCACTATTTAGAGTTTCTCATTATAAAGTTCAATTTAAGTATTCATATTAACATATTTAAATTTCTAACTTAAATTAAATTAACTTTTATTATTTGTAAATTATACTTGAGTTTGATTCAATTAAATAAAAATATCATTGTTCATATTAATATTATAACCAAATGCAAGTTAGGTTTATATATAATAAATGATTAGTTCTTGTTTTTAAATAAACACTAAATAATTTCTAATACCAAAAATATCTTTAACATCTTTATCAATAATAATTTCTTTAAATAAAGAATTATGACTTGGATTATTAAGTAAATATATCAACAATTTATTTTAACTTTTCACATATAGAGCATCTAGATATAAGCTCAATGAAATATTATCTAAATTATCAATAACATATGAATATAAGGGAAGAGTCTTCTCCAGAACTATATTGCATTTATTTTCCATATTATAAATTAAAATTTCATAATTATTATCTTTCTTTTCCTAAACAACAACAAATCGATTTTTTGAGATTTAGACTTTAATATTTTAAACTTCATTTAATTAAATTTAATTGACAACATAATGTAGGCTGAAGTCTAAATACATAATTATTAATAATTGATCTTATTTATTAAATATAAAAAGTTAATGAATAAACGTTTATATATCCTACTATTAATTGAATAATTAATTTGGCTTAATAAATACATAATCTTAGGATGAAAATTAATACAGTAATATCATTTCTTAAATAAGAGAGTATACATATACAACTTATTATTTTGATGAAGATAACACTAATATATATGTAAAATATGCTATGGTATCAATTTCTTATTCTTTATCTAAAGGAAAGACTTAGGTTGAAAAATAACCAGGTTAATGGAAAGAGATGTATGATAATTTTTCTGATGATATCAATGTTACTATTTCAACAAAATCCATAAAACATGAGATTGCAGTATTTTATTTTGTTAATTAAAAATCTAATTAAGTTTCTTCAACTTTTGAACATTCAAATTTAAAATCTATATATACACATATCTTCAAAGTTAGTTTTAATTGATCATTTTAAGATATAATCATCAATTAAAAAGTATTAATTCTAGTATATTCAATAATTTCTAAATAAACATAATTTGATTCAGGTTAATTATCTACAGTAATTTGTTTTTGAGGTTGGGTTTAATAATAATGATCTGAGATCTTTTCTTACTCATTTAATATAGCAATACTAATATTTGGTCCTTAAACTAAAAGATTAAAATAATTAATTTAAGAAATTGATGAAGCAAAGAATGGAGACCAAAACATAAATTCATCTTTTCTTATTTAAATCAATTCTTAACTATCTGATGCTATAGTTTAATATTCAATATTCAAAGTACAACCTTTATAATTTACTTATGCTTAGTATATCTTATAATCATCATTATCAACAGGATGATAGAGTAAGTTAACACTATAATGATTAAAGAACCTTAAAATTCTATTACCTTAGATTGAGAATATTTCATTATTTTTTTAATCAATTAAAACTTTTGAGAAATCACCTAATTTAGTAAATGAAATTTCATTAGCTACTATTTATATTATGGATTCAGAGGAAACTAGATTACAATAATTATCCATCATATATGGAGTGTAATTGCTAGTATCAAAGGTTAAAATAAGTTAAGAACTTGGATATTTTGAATTATAGAAAAAGGAATCTCCAATACCTATGTATATTTTAGATTTGAAATCAATATCATAAGAATGAATTTTGTATTTAGTCTAATCTCTTGTTAATGTCCATTCATCTGAATAATATGATAGATATATGATATTTTGTAAATCATCTAAGAAACTAAATTAATATGTATCACTATATTTGAAATCTAAAATTTAAAAGTTTTCATAATCTTCATAATCTTAGGTAAAATTATTATCTACAAAAAATTAACTATTTATTATTGTAAATAAAGTCAATTCAAGAGTTTAAGAGTTGTATTCAAATATTTCCACTTAATTTTCATTATTATATTAATTCTTCTTTGTAACTCTATATAAGTACTTACTCTATATATATATATTTCTTTCTTAGTTTCTAGAGTAAGGATAAGTATTTTCTATTTTTGTCTTTAAGATCTAATCTCCAATTTGAATAATATAAAAATAATTTATTTCTTGTTCATTGATTATTTCCATGCAATCTATTATGAGAGATTTACTGTTTATCCAAACAAAATCAAAGCATTTAATCTAATCAGTGGAACCTATATCTATAGATTTATCAAATTTTGGCATTCTGTCCTGATTACTATGCCATTATTAAAAATTATATATCAATTGATATTAATTATTAATAATTCTCAATATGGCATATTAGTTTAACCAGTATCTCTCTCTCCTTTAAACTCCATCAAATTTAATAATCTTATAATCCTCTATAATTATATTAAAGAATATACCATGTGTTTCATCAATTATCTCACTATTCAACAATTGAATTGGTTGAATTAATTAAATTTTGTTATTATGATCAATCAATTCATATTTAGCAAAATCTCTCCAATCTTTGAAAGCATTAGTTATTGGATAATATAAATATTCATTGTTGTGTGCAACTAATTTCAAATAATCCCCATCAAACATTGTGCATGACAATGCAATAGAATATGATATCAAAAGGACAAAGAACATAATTTATTATTTATTGATCGTTTGATTTAGATATTTAAAAATCAAAAAAATTCCATGTTGTGCAGTTATTATTATTATAAAAAGAGAATTTAATCTATATTAAATTAAATATAGAATATAAAAAAATGTTATTAATTCAAATTTTATTTTGCAGAATTTTTCAAAGTAATCAATATAATTTCTTATTTTCAAACTTAATAAAATCAATAACAAAAATTAATTACTATATGAACTTATTAAGAGTATTTAATAAAAATAAATATTATCAAAAATATTTTCTATTCATTAAGGTATTATTAAGATAATTAAAAAGGGATTAAAGCATATTTATTTAGAAAATTATATAGTATATATTTAGATCTATTAAAAATGCCTATGATATATTTATGACAAATTAGTTTTAACATACCTGAATCTTTCAGTGATATTTTAATACAGATTGAATAGTAGGAAAATAAGAGAAAATAAAATTCATTTAATGGAACTATATAAATAAGTGGAAAACTCAATAAATTATATGTATTTTTTATTTGGCAATGCTTAATTTTTATGTTTAAATATTAAACGAAAATTAAAAGGAGACTTAAAATATATTTGTTTAGATTTGGATATCAGTTTTATTAGAATAGATAAAATATCAAATCTGAATATTTATGCTAGACTTGAAATAAATAAGAAAGAACTAGTTCAACACATATAGAAAATGAGTAACAACAAAATTTGTAGTTAAAGTTTCCACTTAATGAGATAAAGTTAATGAAATTAGAATGATTATTTTTTTAGAAATGAATTGACATGTTAATCTATAGGATCTATTTATATTATCTTTGTTTATTAGTTGATAGATATTTGAATGTAGAGATGTAAAGTAAGAAATAAAGTGATTGTTTGGTAGAATTAAAAATTAAAAATAGGTTAATTACAATTTGGGATTTATTAATTAGAAAGTGTTGAAAGGTTAAGTTAATTTGATTACTTTTTTGTTATTAGGGAATAATGAGAGAGGTATTTTACATTAAAAATATTAATTTAATTTAATCATGATTTTCAGAATGTTTAACTTTATGAATTCACGGATGGATGAATTCATTGAGGAGAAGAGAGACATCAAATTAATATTGGATGAATCGTTGCTGTTGTAAGATCTTTCGATGCCTTAATAACAATACAAATTGCTTAATTAGTAATCATGGACATGATTCATAGCGTCAAGGACCATCCAGAGCATTTAGAGACACTCATTGAATACATTATTGAAGTTGGAGATGAAACTAATTATTAAAGAATATAATATAAGTATGAGTTTATTCAAGAATAAACTAGATATCCCTTTTTAGCAAGTGAGATCTTGAGTAAAGAAAATGATTTCTTTTAAGATTTCCTTTTTGAAGAGCATAATCTCCATCATTTGAATAGACTATTTTCATTACTAAATGAGGATATTCTCAACATAACATAAGCAGGTTACTTCTCTAAAGTTATCCTCACTTTATTAAGAAAGAAACATTTCAAAGTATTGCATTCAATATAAATTAAGATGTTGTAATATTTAAATGAAAAAGATATCTCTAATCTACTTAAACATATTGACATACCCCATATTGCAGAAATAATTGAAAAAATTATCATACCAGATCCCAATGATGAAAATCAGTTACTTGAAAAACAGAAATCCATATTACTGAGAGTTATGAAGATCTCATAGCATCGCTATTATGAAACAGAGGTACATATATATATTTATTAATTATAATAGGTTTTTGAAAATTGCTTACTTATTATCAATAATGTAATAAAAAGTTAAATCAATCCAGATTAAGAAGAATTAATTAAATGTCTATTGAATCCATATTACTTTCTCACCATTTGTGTAAATATAAATTTATTATTATTATAGTACTAAAGTCAGAGAACTGCAGCCTATGAATTAGTATCCAATCTATTGTAATATATTAATAATTCAGGCAAAACAGATTACTTTCTATACTTTATGGATGTAGCTAAACATCTCCCTAATGCATTTACCAATTCTAATTTATATGCTATACCTCATCTAACTACTTATGGTTAAATTATCACTCCATTATCCTCTAATAAACTCACATTACTTTAAATCTTTTATTTACTATTACTAAGTGAGAAAGAAGAGATATTAAATGAATTGATAAATAATCAATCCTTTTAAGTTATTACAAATGTAATATTAACACATGAATTCAATAATCAAGCACTAATTTGGTTTGATAAGATAGTTATCTTTATATTTTAGAAACTACCTTAGATGTATAAATCAATATCAGACTACTTGGCCTAAATCATTATTCAATATAATAAAAATGAGAAAAAAGAAGTTGGATCTCTTATGAATACTATTAAACCAGGATATTAAGGAATATTAACAAAAGTATCTAATTTATTAGTGGATAATCATTACACAAGTTAAGTTTGGGATCAATATGTTAATGATACTCTTAATAAAATTAATTCAGTAGAAAAATCATTATTATGTGGCGTTGATCCAAAACCAAGATAGATGCCATAATTTATATAGGAATCAATTACAATTGAATAACCAAAAGAAAATGATGATAAAGAAGAAGAAGTAGAAGAAGAAGATATCCCTGAAGATGATAATAATAAAGAAAATGAAATTGATGGATAAGAATAAGAAGAATAAGAAGAATAAGAAGAAAAATTCTATGATTGCAATGAGGAAGGACGATTATAACAATTAGAAGAATTAAAATAGATCCAATTAAAAGAAAACAAAATAGATAATTTAGAATCTAAGTATATTATTCTATTTAATTATAAGACATAAATCAAGTGCAGAAGAATAAGAATTAATAGATGAATAAATAGAAGAAATCATTTCTGATCCACAAACAAAACCAGAATAAGGTATTTCATAATTCTAAGGAATAGTTGCATAAATTATTTAAAATGAAGAAGTTCTTATTGATGACATTGGTCCATTAGAATTAGAAAATAAACAAGATCATCAAGTCAATGAATATTATAAAAAACATGATGATCCTAAAAATGAAGAATGATATAAATATATATATATTTAAGCATTTTCGCTTAAAATAAATATTATAAATAAAGTATCAATCATGATATATAAATAAATAATACTTTATAAAAACACATGAAGATAAGTTTGAATAATATTATGATATCAATCTAATAAAAGTGATTGGTTATTGTTAAAATGAAAGCATTGTCTAAAACTTAATAATTTTTTATTCTTAACAAATCCTGAATATTCCTTAATTAACGTAAGAAGTATTGGATTAAGTAACATATTTTAATATCATATTCTCAACTAAAGAAGCAAGGAATCAGAATATTACAATGTAAATAAAAACTGAAATATCATACTACATATCATCAGAAGTGCTAACATTGAAACTAAATTTTGGTCATTTAAAGATTGAAGAATTTTACTGGTAACAATAAATTCAAGAAAGAAGCCTTGAGTTTTATTGGTAAATAATTAAATGAATAAGAAAGTGAAAATTTCTTAGATGAGAAAATATTGAGGTTTTGCAATTTAATAAATTACTATTATGATGCATTATTACAAACAATTTAATGAATAATTAAATCATTATGATTATTTTAATTTTATACAAAATATGAATGATATTTACTCTTTTCCTGTTGAGGAACAACTTAATTATATTTAAGGTAAATTCAACATGTTTTTAGATTGAGGATTACCTTATAAATGTGAGTATTTTCATCCAGGATTTACATGTGAAACCCAAATACTTCACATGTATTATTACTTATTATAACAAGGTTTCCGATCTTATTCTCTTAGAATGCAAAAGTCTATTTACCTGTTCATTTGTTGCCTTTCCTGATTTATAAGAGAAAAGCTTTTTTCAAAAAGTATAATTTTCTTAAACTTTTTAAGTCCAATTAGTACAACAATTAGATCATTATTTTCATATATAAAGAGTGTGTTATTTTTAACTTTAATGGTGTAAGCTATGAGATATAATTGGTGTAAATAAGTAAGATTTCGTAATACTGTTGATCCATTAATACCAATATCTGGTGGTTTTATAGGAGCTTTTTCTTTGTTATTAGAATCAAAAAGTAGGTAAGAAAGTGTTGATATATTAAAAGAGCTTAAGAAATAATGTTGAGTATAGTACCTCGTTATTTTGAAACTATTTTGAATCTATTGAAGAGAAAGGGTTGGATAAAAAATATTCCTAAAGGAGATGTTTTTGTATTTGCAATGATATTAGCAATAATTCATTATTATTATTAACATGATGTAAAATATATAGTAATTAGATTAGTCAAAGGCTTTAAAAACAACATATAGAGGAATGTTTAGTAAATTTTGGGGGAAGAATTGATTTTATTTGTAATAAATATATTAATGAATGTGATGTTTAAAAAAGTAAAATTAAATTAAATCTTTAATTCATGTCTATAAAATTACATTCACCATCTGGTTAAGGAAGAACACATAAAATATTAGTAGCAGCTAAATTGGCTAATTTGTAATTGGAATTTGTTGATACATAATTGAGTGAGAAGAATTTCTAAGTATTCTAAAACAAATTTCCATTTGGAAAGGTGCCAGTCTTAGAAACATAAGAGGGTAATCTTTTTGAAAGCAATGCTATTCTTAGACACATTGCTAGACATTCATAAGGTTTATATGGGTATCTAAATATAATTATATCTAGAAAAACACTCTATTAATAGGGTTTAGTTGATTAATGGTTAGATGTGACAACAAATGAATTAGAAACAGATGTTGTAGCAGCTGCTATATAAGTATTGGGTCATATTCCAGTGTTACCTGAATAATATAAGACATCTTTAGTTTAAATTAATCATACATTAACTATTGTAAATACTTAATTAGGAAAATCTAAATATATAACTGGAGATTCATTAACAGTTGCTGATATAGCATTGGCATAAGTTGTTACATTTGCATTCACTCTTTTGTTTGGAGAACCATAAAGAAATAAATACTAGAATGTATTAAAATGGTTGAATGAAATTAATTCACTTCCTGAATGGAAAGCAGTAATTATATTATTATATATCAAAAAGGAATTCGGTAGACCAAGATTCCCAAAGACTTCATTTATAGTGAGTGAAGTAACAGAGGAGAAAAAGGAAAAGAAGGAGAAGAAATAGGAATAACCAAAATAAAAAGAACAAAAAGAATAACCTAAATAAAAAGAATAACCAAAATAGAAAGAATAACCTAAATAAGAAGAGGATGATGAGGCACCTAAAAAGAAAGAAGCAAATCCACTTGATTTATTACCACCTTCAACTTTTAATATTGATGATTATAAGAGAATTTTCTTTGCAGAAAAAGATATTTAAAAAAATATTGAAACTCTTTTTGCAACAATTGATTTGAATGGATGGTCTTTATGGTTGGTTAGATATAATAAATCAGAAAATGAAGGAAAGTAATTGATTCTAACTAACAATTTAATGAAGGGATTTATTAATTAAAGATTAGATTAAAATTTCAGAAAGTATGCATTTGCCATTCATGGAGTATATGGTGATGAACCAAATCTTTAATTAAGAGGAGCATGGCTTTGGAGAGGAACTGAAGTTCCAAAAGAATGGGTAAATAATAAATAATATATAAAAATTAGAAAGATCATATTGCTTATGATTATCATGAATTCATTAAAGTTGATGTTAATAATGCTGCCTAAAAATAATTGTTTGTTGATTATTGGGTTAAATAAGAAGAGGATGTTTCAGAAGTTGAAGGTTTAAAGGCCAGAAGTTTAATGTATTTCAGATGAGATATATATTAAAAATAATCAATCTGTTATTATGAGTTTTACAATTGACTCACGTATTCCAGGTAATGTATCTAAATTATGATTGGAAAATGATTTAAGAATTCTTTCAATATTTGTATGACACTATTAAACTGTAAAAACTCCAATGGAAATTATCTTATATTCAGTTTGTTACAAATCAGTAGAAAATGCACCTTCACTTATAGATATATCGAATTACTCTGAACCTAATTTGGAACTATCTTCAGTTATAGATGAAATAATATCTACAGATGATCCATCTTCTTACAATTTCATTCTTTTTTATTAAAGTAACTACATTAATAATTTATAAACTAACATATTAATATCTCTCCATGCAACTCTATGGGTTTTTCTCTTAAAATCGAGATGTTATTTGTTTCCAAACTCCTTTATATATTTTAAAGGCTGCCCATAACATTTTATCATCCATAGCATTCCACACATTTTAATATTAACTTTAGGCCTACTTCTGGATTTACTCTTTTTTATGTTGTTATTATAATAATGACAACTAATTAGGTTACTTAATCAAAGCGTTTTAGAATTATTATAGATGCATGGATTCACTAGATGATTCTTCATTATAATCAAAATGTGGATTATATCTACGAGGTATTTCTCTCTGTAATGTTTTGACCTTTTTTATCTTATGATTTTGATTTTCTATCTCTGAATAATCACCCAAAGCTTCCAATCTATCCATAGTTTCTTCTTTCTTAAACATCTTTAAGCACATATTACATTTTTAAGTATCTTCCATCTAGCTTAACATTGTTTTGAATCCTTAGTTGGTACTTCTTCCTATATTTTACTCCATTGATTTCCATATTTTCTTATGCCTTTAAGTAATAATTCATCTTCAACTTCCTTCCATTTCTTTCGTGAAGAAACTAATTTGTTAATTTAACGACCATCATTTTTATGGCAGAAATCTAAAAAATCATTTATCATTAATATTGTTCCATTTTATGGGATGTTGATTTTAAATAATTTCTTAGCAAATTTATATAATGATAATTTTTATATTTTAAATATATATATTATATTTATATAAAATTATTTTAACTAACTTTATAAATAGATCTCTTAAATTTATGGAGAACAAAAATAATATGAATAAATATAATAATGATAAATCAATTCTCTTTAACAAAGGATCAATTTATTGATAACATTCAATATTTATCACATTTTTAGTAAATTTAAAGTTGAAATTGTCTTCCTTATATATAAAATATCAGTTTACCCTCAATTTACAATTGGATACAATATAATATTGTATATATAATTAGCTTATGCTAAATTGTTAATAATTTGTAATTTTTAAAACTATTATGTGTACCTAACTCTTAAAGATATTAGAATCTTATTGTCTGTACTCTTTCACTCTTTAAATAAAATTAAAAAATATTTTAATACTCTCAAGAGAATGATTTAAAAAAAAATATAATATTCCTCATTAATTTTATAATTAACTTTTGTCATTTTTTTTTTTATTGTATGTTTTGTCATCTCTCAAAAATTTCCACAAGATCCATTGATACTCATTGTTTGCTCAGATTATACTAGATATTCATTGTATTTTTGATATAACCTAATAACATGATAATATTTAGATGAATATGATAATCATAACAATATCAGCAATATGAATTATTATTCAATAATCCAACTGAACAATCAATAATAAATAAACACCCTACACTCATTTAACTCATTAATACCCAATGACATAACATTATAATTATATTAAAATAACAACAGTTATAAGTTTTTATTATAATAATAACTAATGGACAGATATGAAGGTGCCAAATCCCTAATGCATTCCTAGAGTACTGTTGAATAGACATTTGAGAGAAAAGACAAAAGCCTCCATCATAAAGACAACAAGATACAAATAATCAAGGCAGAAAGTTAAAATAAAAAGATCTCTTTAAATTAAACTGAGATGATATCCTTAAAACAAAAAACTATGTAGAAGCGAAAAAAAATTTGCATAAATAAAAAAATCAGAAAAGCTTGGACTGCTTAAGAGGATGAATTGTTAAAACGTTCTATACAATAATATGGGTCAAATTGGGTTCGAATTGCCGCATAAATGGTTAATAGAAATCCATCCTAATGTACCTAAAGATGGAAACGAATCAAACCATAATCTGTAATATTATTTAAATAAGTCTAGTTAAAAAAAAGAAAACCTTTCTCAGAAGAGGAAGATCAACTTATATTATAATTAGTTAATAAATACAAATAAAATTGGGGGAAAATTGCACAACAATTGCCTGAAAGGACTAATAAATAAATTAGAGAGAGATATATTAATAAACTTAATCCATAAAACAAGTTTGAACCATTTTCTGAAAAAGAAGATCAAATTATCTTAGAAGCTTATTAAGAAATGGGATCTAAATGGACTAAAATTTAAAACCTTTTGGTTGGTAGGCCAGTAAATATATTACCAAAATTATTAGGAAAATATGATTAAGAATCGTTTTTACTCCTACTTGAGATAAAAATTTTTGAACATTAAAAACCCATATTATTCTATTCCATCCAAAACAGAGATTACAAGTTTAGATTCAAAATCTAAAATGGAAAAAGATGAATAAATGACAGAAGAAAAACAAATGAAAGAGATTGAATTCCAAAAAATAAAAATAGAATATTCTAACCAAAGAAATAATGATATTAAAGAAATTTAAACTTAATTACCTCTCGAACCTTATCCAAATAGTTAAATTCCTTAAAATTAATTTCTTGGAAATTTCTCTTGTAATTTATTTTATTTTTATGAAAGATCCTTAATTTTACATATATTAAACTCCTAATTCCATAGTTTACACTCCATTCTAATATGGACACATAAATTATTAGAATAATCTATTTTAAAATCAGATTTATATGGTTCAACAAGAAAATAATTAATTTTAGTATTTATCAAATTGAATATATTTTTATAAGGTTAGTAATATAAATATCAAATTCTCAACTATTTTTATTTGATCGCTTGACTATTCGCATTAAAATATCAGCTAAGTTACTTAGCTCTGATACATAACTAAAATTAATATTTATAATACCCTCTAGGAATTTATCCTATTTCTTAAGTAGACAATGATTGAAAATGAGATGTCATTCTTACAATGTCTGTTAAAGCAATCTTTTCAACAAACCTATTTGAAAGTTCCGGTGAGTGATTTCTTTAAAAGGAATTAGATTTTTACACATTGAAAGAAGTATCATTGAAAGAGAAGGCTTGCTTTTTATGTTCAAATAAGTTCTTTTTTGGTATTTAGTTTAATTATAGATTAGGAGAGCTTTTATCAAAAAGTCCTTTTGAAACCTCATTAACATATTTATAAAATAACGGTTTATCACCTTATGGTGAGACTCTATTAGAAATAGATTTGTTTTAGAGTACTAATTAGACATCCAGTCTATTATCCCAATTCTTAAATCTTTCTAATTTCTCCTTAGATTTTTAAGGTGAGTCTTTATAGCCTGAACCTAAAGTAATATTTTATCGCACTGGTTTAGGAAATGAAGTAAAGGAATTATCATAATATTCCTTTGGTGGAGATCTTTTAAATAATTAGTCTATTTTATTATTTTTTGTTTTAGATTAAGGTCCTCTATTAGCAAAGATTTCATCATAATTTAATCCACCCAGAATTTTTTACTTTTTAGGTGATCTTCTACTGACTTTTTAATCTTCCCTAATTCGTTAAGAATAATAAAATACAGAACTATTCTTTCTGCTTTACTCCATGAAGCAAATAATTAAGAAGATCTTTCTGGTTATGAAGTAAAAGGTTCTCTGGATGATACATTTGTACGAAGATCTTTTCTAAAATCAGTCAATTATTTAGAATTCATTTAAGTAGTAGTTTAAAACGTTGCATATCCAGTTGGATTGTTTGACTTTTCAAATCTTGCTTATTTTTATGGTGAGAACAAAGATGGTTAACGCATGAGTATAACAGACAAAAATTATTAATAAAATTATTGTATAAATAATTTCATTAATATCAATAAAACATTTATCTTTATTTCTTTGAAGATATCTTTTAAAGACATTTATTTTTGAGGGAGTTCTTAAATGATTGAGAATTTATACACTACATTATATATAATAATCTTATTTCCATTTTTCATGGTTCTATCAAATCTGATAATTTAAATTTGTATTACTTTTTTTATTTATTTTTCTGAAAGCTATTATTTTTCAAAACATTACATAATTATATAAGAAAAATTTCATAAATTCAAAATTATCTTTAAAATTGATATGTTTTACTTTATAAACAATTTTATTTACTTAAAATTTGAGTTCTTTTGATAATTTAGATATTTTGAGTTTCTATTCTTTCTCATGATTATTTTTTAAGTTTATATACTTTTAATTAAATAACTTTTCAAAAGATTAAATAGAAAAAACAGTTTCAATTTTTAAACAAACTAATAAACTAATAAAATTTTGTTTTTAAGTTGATTCTAAATGGATATATGAAAATAGTTTGAATATAAATTTCAATATTAAATTTTTAAGTCGTTTTAAAAAATAATAAAGTCATTATATATAGTTATCATAATCCACATATTAATATTGTCCTGTTTTATTACACATGTATTATAATTTCTAATCCAATATATTTCTTTATAAATCAATGTCTTCACAATCTTATTGTAAAGATAATATTTATTGGTCAAATTGTGTATTTTATTCTCGCTGATCTTAAATTTGCTAAAATAAGTTCTTATGGATATATTATAATAAAAATATACAGATTTCAATTTATTGGCATTGACTGTCATTTCATATTCAGTATTGAGGATATCTCTTTATTGTGTATGTTCAAGATTACTTAGACTCAACTTCATATCTTGGATACTTAGATGAAGTCGATTTCTTGTTTCTTTTGTAGATTGAATTATATCCTCTATTTAAATTATATGTTTATACTCTTATAATTCTTATATGGTCATTGACACTTTGAGCCATCAATATGAAGGCAATTGAATCTTCACATAGGGAATGAGGTTATCTTGCAGTTGTTGAATCTAAAGCTGAGTCCATCAAACTTGATTCATGCATTCTAAATGTAATAGATCCTGAATGTTTCATTTTCCTATGCATTATATTGAGATCAAAAATATATTTATATAAAAGATTATTATTTTCTTTGTTTTTGAAAACTGATGAATTTGCAATTATTATATTTATAATGAGATAAGATGATTATTTTAGAGTTTTAGAGAAGGAGAAGAAAAAAGAAGACTTAAAACGTTAGGAATAGGAGAGATTGGATGAGGATGCAGAAAGGAAAAAAAAAGAATAAGAGAAATTGATAAAAGACAAAGAGGAAATTGATAGTGATTCTAAAGATAAAGATAAATCAGCAAGAGATGACAAAAGCATTAAAATCAAAATTGATGAGGATAGAAGTACTAAAGAAAAGGATAAAAGGAAATAGCAATAAAATAAGAAAGATGAAAAATATGATAAAAGTTTAGAGAATTTGAGACCAGAACAGTTGGTGGAGAATGAAATAGGAAAGCCTTATTATTTAGTACCTGATGAAACAAAATTAGAAATCAATGTACAATATTATATTGATTTTAGAAAGAACTGATAGAGAGGGAGGATAATAAAGTTAGAAGATGGAAGGTTTTTATAAATGAAATAAGATTAGAAAATCTATAAAAGGAATAATTATCAGTGTTTTTGAATTTCAGAATAGGTTAAATTGGAAAAACAGCAAATAAGTATGCAGATGTATCAAGTGGTGAAGTCTTTTTTAAATCTGAAATTTGCAAAGATTTAAAAAGAAGTGAAGTCAAGGTTATTAAAGTAATGTTTGAAACAGAAATGCATCTCTCATATTAAATGCTTAAAGAACGTTATTTTGTAATAGAAGTATGGGAATATAGAAGATTTCGATTGAATTTATTTTTAGGTAAAATTTAAGTATCTTTACTTAATATTGCATCTGGTAATATAAAGAAATAAGATGATATTAAGAAAGCTTTTGGAGAGAGAAGATAATTTGCTAGGATTTATTATAATATCTTATTTTAGGAAGTGTGGGATTATAAATTAACATTTGAAGCTTGGAAAGGATCAAATATTATAGCAGATTAAGGTAAAGAACATGATCCTAAAATACAATTGACTTTAATGACTGATGAATTAATATAACCTTAAGTTGAATCAGAATAAATTAAGAAGACCAAGAATCCAAATTTTAGAAATCTTAAAGGATATATGCATTTTAGAGGAACAATGGAAGATTTGACATAATAAATGATGAAAGTAACCTTATTGTTTGATAGTTATTTTAATTAAGTTGAAAAATTAGTTTCATTAAGAGGAATACAAGATACCAATTATTTAAAAGTTTAATTTCGATTAAAACTTAAAGTACCTCCACCAAGAGTGAAAATAGCAAAGAAACCAAAGAAGAAAAATAAATAAAAGAAAAAGTGGGATGGAAATGATGAAGATGATGATGAAGATTTAGGAGATGATGAAGATGCATTAAGAGATGAAGCATACATAGCAATTATTGAAGGAAGAGTAAATCTTAATAAAGTACCACGATATTCACAAAATGGAGAACTTAACACTTATATTCCAGAATAATATTATCTTGTAGTTACAATTAATAGACTGAATAGTGTATTAAGTCCAGATGATAGAGGAGTCATTAATACTTATTTAACAGTTGCTTGGAGAGATCAAGCCAAAACAACAAGAATGATTAAGAATGATCCAAATCCATCTTATAATGAAGAATTATATTTCAGAATACCTATATTAAGAAGAGAGAAGACTTTTGAAGATATAATGAATTAAAAAACAGATCAGGATTTACTTATTGATGCATTACGTGAGGAATTGAAATCAAGACCAGATATTACAATATAATTATGGTTAGATGGATAAGATATTTTAAGTGATGAATCTTTGGGTTATTGTAGAGTATTTTTATCTGAAATTTAGAAAGCAAGCAAATTTAAAAAGACTTTATTGACTGATGATAATAGAAGATATTAATTTGATTCACGTGAAGCTACATTTACTAAGAAATTTGAAAGTGGTTTGTTTAATGTTAGTCATATTTAAATAACTTTTCAGGCATTCTTTGCTCCTGATTTACCAGAAGAATTAAATTTAGAGGAATTTTGTGAAGTCCCTGATGATATATATCCCTATCAAATTTCAGATTAATTATCTGTTAAGAAGGATCATGAAGATAATGAGGAATATTAATCATGGGATAAATATGTAAGAGGTAATTTTTCATAGTTTGGCCCGGAAAAGACTGCTTATAATATTTTTTTTAAGAATATTTTTGTTAGAGATTAATTTAATTATTATCATTTAGTTTGTAAATATTTAGAGAAGTTTTATATAAAATTTTAAAGTGAAGAAGCAACAAATGAATTATTTGCTAATCCTAAAGATATTAGAATGAAAAATTTACATGAAATGTGTCATTTTGTTAGAAATATACCATTTATATAAGATTCTTTTTCTAGAAATGATGTTTGGAGATCACCTGATTTTTTATTGAAAATACGAAAAGGTTTTATCCATGATCATGCAATCTTAGGAGCTTGTTTATTTATGGGATTTGAGAGAGAAGATAAAAAAAGAGAGTAGGATAAGGATTTTCATAAATATATTCCATTTGAACATAGAGTTTTTGTTTGTTTAGGTACTCTTAAACACAATTCATAATTTCATGCTTGGCTAATGGTTTTTTCACATGATTTATCTGGTATTACTTTTTGGGATGTTCAAGAAGACTTTCATATGCATTTAGATGGAAGAGTTAGAAAAGATAAAAGAGCTGCTTTAAGAAAGTTTTTGTATGCTGAAAAACCAGTAATTAAAAAGGATGGAGGATTTGGATTAGGTGCTTTAGGTAATTTAGGTACAGATAAAAAGAAACCATTATCAAGGAGGAAATAATTGATGGAATAAAAGAAAAAAGAATTAGAAAAGAAATAATAGGAGGAGGCTTTGAAAAAATAGAAATAAAATGAAATCCTGATGTAATAATAAAAAGAAGCAGAAGAGAGAAGGAGAAAAGCTAGAAATAATGCAACATTCTAACCTGAAGATGATGGTAGGGCAGATTAAGATGAATAAGTTATTGAAACCATTTAATTGGAAAAGTTAAATGGAAACATCAGGTTAAAAAACCCAAGATAAATGGGAGAAGTGAAATAATAAAAGGAAAGATCTAGTGAATAAGAAGATGAAGATCCTAAGAAATCTACAATCAAAGGAGCTGGATCAGTTGGATAAAAAAAGACATTTACAAATCCTTTATTTATATATAGAGAGACATCTAAATAAACTGCTATTGCTAAAAAGTAGGAGGCAGAAGATGAAATCTTAAGAGCCAATCCTATTGCCAAATTTTCAAAAATTGATCGTTTCTTTGATAAAAATGGAAAAGAGTATTTTTAATATTATATATTATAAGAGTTGTTGATCCTGGATAATTGCCATATGAAACCATAGAGATTATTTTTAATAATAAAAATATGTAATAATTAATTTAAATTTAGATTTGGTAATATGGCAAATTAGAAACCACATGAGATCTTTTATCATTTGCATGACAAAAGATTATGGTATCCTTTCATTAAGGAGACGATTCCAAATACATAGGAACATTAAGAAAGTGAAGAAGAAGAAGATGATGATGATGATCCTAATATATAAATAGATGAAGAAGAACTTGAAGATCAGATGAAATAAAAGGATGAAGAATTCATATAAAAAACATGGAATCAAAAAGTTGGAGCATTTTATTCAGCTTAAATTTTAAAAGAACCAATTAAAAAGAATAGAATTAAAAGATTATTAGAGGATATATTTATGGAAGTAAAATAAGGAGTAGAAAAAGCAAGAGGAAAAAGTTCACTTTTTACAAAATGGAAACATGATTTAGATGGAATAAATAAAAAAATGGAATAATATTTGAAAATATTAGAATATAAAACTACATTTAGACCAATAAAAGTAGTGTAATAGAAGCATGATGATTAAATGATTGCTAAATGGAATCATATTTATAAAAGTAGAAATTATGAAGAAATTATTGAATAATGGAAAAAAGAAGTTAAAGCAATGTTACCTTTAAATACACATTTGTGTTTATTACCAATGAGATTTAATTATACTGAAGTAAATAATTTAATAATTATAATTATAGTCTGAAAAAATTAGATCTGTTATTGTTGAAAATATGGAACCTTTTTTTATGAGAAGAGATAATAAAATAATTTTTAATTTGGCTGGAAAAATATTTAATTATCCAAATAGAGTATTATAATATAATATTAATAAAGATTGTTTGTGTTCGATTAATTTTAGGATATTCATATTGTTAAAATTTAGATGAAATTAAAAAGAAAGAAGAAAGTGAGGATGATGAATAAGAAAATTAAGAAGGTGAAATTGATATTCAAAAACCCATGCTTGATGATCTTGATGCAGATGAAGATGAAAATGCAGATTTATTAAAAAAGAAAAATGTTGAAAATTAATAGTGAATATTAAACTGGTTTATATATCCTATTCATAATAATTACTTTAATTAACAAATTTCTTTTTTTAAAATCTCTTTTTAAAAATTAGTTAATTAATCTTAATGCTTTTAATAAAATTAGATCTTATATTCAAGCATAATACAATATTCAGATTTACTAACTGTATTTTTATTTATTTTTACTTATTCAGATTGCAATTCCTATTATTTAATTATACAATTGTCTATATTTTGTTTATAACTAAAATAAAAGTCTTATTTATCTTAGTAAAATATATACTTTTTCCAATTAAGAAAGGATTTTAACATTAATTTTGAAGAGTGAAATGCATCAGCCATTAATTTCTTTTATAGTTCTTTTTAATTATTAACCAATTATTAATCTTTTTCATCAATCATTTTTCTTTTCTCTAAAAATTCTTATTTGCTTTACTTTTCATTAATTCGAAGAGCCTTGAATGATTTATTCAATATTCTATTATTATAATAATTATCTGCTTTGATCAATTTCTTACGTTTATATTATCTCTCTTGAGAATAATCAATTAGTAATTTAATTACTTTGTTTTATAATTTCCTTCTATATTTATTTTTAACAAAGTGACAAATTTCATTCATTCTATACTTTCTCATTAAAGCAAGATGCCAATTAAACAATTATGCTTTCATAAATTTATAATTATTTCTTATTTAAATCACTTTTAATTATCTTTTCTATTATGCATTTATAATGAGAACTTATAGAAAATGGTTCTTTATTTTATCATTTTTTTACTTTAAACTTTTCTCAATTTTCATTTAGTTTATTAGCATTGATATTTGTGTTAGTCTTTTCCATTACAAAAATATTTATTTTAACATCATTATTTTGAATAATTAAATTAATAATCATTAAAAATTTGATGAGAATAATAATAATATTTAGATATATTTCTATAAAATTATAAATTCAGGAACCATTCTTATTATTTTAATATAAATAATAATATATAAATGAATATTATTAGTCAATAGGACTGATTATATTTCAATTCTTAAATTTTAAGTACTTTGATTCAAAATTTTTTTAAGTAAATTCAAGTTTCATAATTTGATTTATGTTTATTATTATAATCAATCATTAAATATTGATTGATTAGATTTATTTAGAATCCATTCTTCATTATTTGTAATATAATTATAATCCCTTAATTTCTTATGAATAAATTATTATTAAAATTGTTTTTATGATACCATTTTAAATGGATAAAATAAATATAATTAAGAATAATTTTAGTAATAAGTAGAAATGGATATTTTGAAATTAAAAACAAAAATAAATATATTTAATTTCAATCTTATTCGATTGACTTTCTTTCTGAATTTAACTAATTTTACTATGTATTCAAAAATTGATTCTTAAATTACTATAGATTGATTTGAATTATTACATCTAAATAACCAGGAGGGAATTTAATATTAATATTTAGATCTGTTATAGTTTCTCCATTCTACTGAGCCTCAATAATCATTTTCTAATGAAAAGAATAGGAAATGTTTTTACAGCAAACTTTTCTCTGTCAGTTTTATTACCTCCATCATGTTTCAATTTGATATGCAAATTCAAAGAAACATCACTTCCATACTATTTATTGCATTTTTCATAAGGACAAATATAACTCTTCTCAATCTCTTATGAAGTCCTTCTATTTTTCTTTTTATGACGATAACTTAGAGCAATATGCAATTCTTATTATAATTTCTTAATAATATCACTTAGATTTACATCTATATCTCCTATTAATTCATGTAATTTTTAATTTTAAGAATGAAGTTCATTAACTTTTTTTATAGCCATCTCATTTAGTATGTAATATCTCCAAAATTCCTTATAATAATTAACATCGCTATTATACTCTAAATTTGAATTAGATTATGCATACCCTAATTTTAATCCTTATTTTAAAGTAGCTACTCAGTAGATTAATCATCTAATTATGATCTAATTTCATATAACTATTTTAATTTTCGATTTAATTCATCATCTACAATATTCCAATCCCTTGACTTGTTCATTAACTGTAATATATATATTAATAATTAAATCAAATGTTAATAAATTATCTTGGATTGATTTCACTTCACATATTACTTAATACAGATATCAACCATATTATCAAATAAATTGAAATCATATAATTAAAACATGATGAAATGAATTATTAAAAAAAGCAAAATAATTATATACTTACTAATTGTAAACAATGACCACAATCTTGCTTTTAACTTTTATAAATATATTGATCCATAATTAATTAAAATTATTTTATAATGAAGATGATCACTTAATAAATTAGATAAGTATTTAATTTAGGCTTTTTAAACAATTTATACTTTTTGGTTGAAAATCATTTAGGAATAAATAATGAAAAAATAATATGGGAAAAATAAATGATAGTGTATAAACTGCTAATAAAAATTAAAAAAGATCAATAAGATTCTTACAAAGCAATTGCAAAAGTCAATCAAAATCTAAAAATAAAATTTGTATATTTTTAAGATTAAAATATTATTTTCTAATTTATAAAAGTATCATTAAAATCTTTAATCAATATCATTTACTTAAAAATTCAATTTAAATAAGTCTATCTAAACTACTTGATTTTTTAATTTTAATCAACATTATTTAAATAATTAAGAAGGAGAATGTTTCAATTTTGATTGCCAATAAAAATAATTATGAAAATGTAAGAATTCTGAAAAAAATAATATGTATCTTTTCATTTAAAATTATATAACTTAATATTTTAAAGATTGCTCAAAAAATTAATATCAATAATAATATATTTTTGACATCATACTTTTTTTTCAGGAGAAACAGGTTATGATTTTCTTTGTGAATGATTCTTTTAAGTCTATTGATGTTAAATATTCTTTAATTCTATGTCATAATGATATCCTTCAAATAATGCTAATTTATTTATTAATTTATTATACATTGAACAGTATCTCTTCTTAATAGAGTTTAATTTTCTAATAATTATTCATCATTTAATTGAGTTTCTTCTGAAATCTGATTTTAGAAATCAAAATTATCATCAACAGCCTTTAATTAATATGATTTAATACCCCAGGTACATATAATGCCGAAACTTTCTTCTTTAATAAATCATCCCAAGGGTAACCTTTTAACCAAGAATGATGTAAAATTTCTTCAATTCCGTTACTACCTAACCTTTTTTCTGGTTTTCTTAGAATTAACTAAAAATTTTATAAAAGTTTGTACCTAATTCACAAAATCAAGGGAATTTTCACTCCATCCTAGAGGTAATTCTTCCTTTTTAACTTAAACTTGTTTAGCTAGAATTTATTCTCTTATATCCTATCGAGTTCTTCCATTATATGGCCTTCTTCCAAGCATTAATTCATATGTAATAACACCTAATGCATAATAATCAGCCACAACAGAGTGATCCATTCTACACATAACTTCTGGAGCCATATATCCAGGTGTTCCTGAAGTATCTCCAGCATTATTTCCCTTATTCATTCGAGCAATACCTAAATCTGTCAATCTCATATAACCATCTTCATCTAATACTAAATTTTCAGGTTTAAGATCTCTATGAATAATTCCATTTTAATGTAGATAAGTTAAAGCTAATAAAATACAAGCAACAAAAAATTCTTAAATAATTATTACTTATATATACTTGTTTATGCTTCACTAAATCTTCTCATTTTACCTAGATGAAATCTGAGATCTCCACCTGTTAATAGATCTATAATTAAAAATAAATTTTCTCTATCTTAAAATGCATACCACATATTAACTAAAAAAGGATGATGTAAATGTTCTAAAAGATATTTTTCATTTAAAACTGAATTAACACTTCTTTTTTATATTACTTTAGCCTTAGACATTTCTTTTAATGCGAATAATTTTTTATTCTTTTTCATTTCAACTCTCCAAACTCTTCCAAAACCTCCTTTTCCAATTACATATAAAAATTTAAAATGTAATCTACCTACCTAATCATCTATTTTCAAACCGAGAACTTGAGTTTTTTCTGAGATTTCACCTGTAGATTTTCTTCTGATTTCACTAGATTTCGAATCATTTTAATTGATTTTACTTTTCGAGATTGAATCATTTGGATTGATTTTGCTCTTAGTAGAATTTTCATGATTATTTGGAGAATTTGGAGCTGATTCAACTAATCCAGAATTGATAATCTAATTTATTATGAAATAAGATACAGCTGAAAATTTAGGACCTTATTGATTGAGTTTCAACTTAAAAGATGTTTATGTATTGCTAAGGACATGACTTTTTGATTCAATTCTTTTTGGAATGACTTTGGACTTAACATTATAACTGTTCTCATACAACTATGAATTACTTAAATTTCCCTTTTGATAATAGTTATTTAAAAAATTTTCCATGTTATGATAAAATTATGGCTTTTTGCTTTATTCTTTAGGAGCTTATCTAGACTAAGGACGAGATTCTTGTAATTGTTGTAGATGACTTTGTAATTACTTTTGTAAGAACATTTATTGCATTTAATACTATTTCTCACGGTTCGGAGATTGATGTGCAGAAACTGAACTTGTTACTTTAATTTCTCTTCTACTATCTTAATCACAAGCTTAATTTTTAGTTGCTACCTTAACTTTTAAAAGAGGTGAAGCATTAATCACTACTCTTTTCTTCATACAAATTGTGCAATTCTTTTAATTGCAAGAGCATTGAGATATATCCACTTTTTTATCCCAATTTCCAGATTATTTTCTATTTGGTTGTATTTTATTGACAGGTTCCCCTTTAAATTTAATTTTACTATTGAGTTGTTGTTTAATCAACAAATCCCTTAAGTTTTTTGCTGTTGATTGACTCATTTCGTTAATTATTTTTATTAAGTGATAATATAAATAATTCCAAATAAAAAATACACATATACATACAATCAATAATATACAACCTTTCTATGCTATATTCCAACCAATATCCACACTATTAATATATTCTGTATTATTAATATTGTTTTTTTTTCAATAATTATATAATATTGATTAATAATTAATAATGAAAAAAATCTTAATTATCTTAATAAATTGAATGCAATAGAATAAGAAACTATCTCACTTCAATAATTAGATTAAGAATATTATCTAATTATGGTTAGTGAGTTTATTGACTTATGAAATAAAACTATTTAATTTTCAAAATCATATCTTTTATTGACTATATTATACTCTATCCCAATAAAGTATCTTAAAAATTGCATAAGTAAGTATTTTAATAGTTTATGAAAATAGATACACTTTAACTATTAAATAAGGATTTGCGACAAGAATTATCTAATCAATTCCTTGATTTATGCAGTATTAAAATCAAAGGTATTTATAGATCTTAATTAGATAATCAATATAAAGTGTAAGAAATTATAAATTTGAATTCTATCTAATCACATTGGACAACTAACTTTAATTATAAATATCAAGTCTTCTAGATTCCACAGTAAACCAATTATGATTTTACTCAAAATAATGTTTTCAATATCATTAGCCCAGTATATGATATTTTGATCAACTTTATCAGTGAATTATTTTAAGTAATTTTTTATTAAATCTCAAATAACCTCTATCAAATTCTGTTGTCATTTTGGGTTTATAGTGAGAAGAAAAGCAGATCAAGACCAAATCTTACTAACAAAGTTATGTCTTCAATTTTGTTAAACTTTGTAACCTATTCTATAAAAATGAGAATTTTGAAATAGAAATATTCAAATAGATTTGAAAATTAAATCTTATTCATTATTATAGTATAAATAAACAAGTGATAATATTATGTTCTTTTTATAAAAGATATTTTTGTTATACACAATATATAACAAGAATACTAATAAGTTGACTTTTATTTACAGTATAAGATTAAAATTAGAATCGATAATATAAATTACTTTGATATTAATATTTTATGATAGATAGATAAATCATTGCTGTTGTTTTAACTTTTATTTAACTAAGCATTCTTTCAGCACAAATTCGAATTCATTGAATGATACTGATCCATCTTTATTGTGATCAAAAAAGCTAAAAATGGATTTACATTCCTCATCTGTCACAGAAGAATCTATACGTTTTAACAATGTGCCCAATTCTAATACATCCAGCTCTTGATTTGCTGATTTATCATACTTAAATCAAAAAGATAAATTTACTTTCTTAAATAAATCCAAAAGATTGATATTATATTTAACAATTGATGTTTTCAATTTTTCAATAACAATTCTAGCTCTATCATCAAGTGACCCAGCTTAGATATCTTATTAAGGTTTCAAAAGGATACTGACCTTCTTTTTAGTTCTACTAACTTCTGAAGCAGTCATTCTACACTATAAATGAAATAATAATTTATAGTTACATCATTTTCTTCTAACCATTTTTTAAATTCATTAAATTCAATTAAATTATTTCCATCATCATCAAATTTATTAAATATATATTCAATTTCTTCTCTTGTCAAATTTTTATCAACTCTTGTTAAGAATTTTCCAAGTTCATTTACATTTAATGCTTTATCTTTAGTCATATCTAATTCTGCAAACAATTCTCCAATATCTAATTATTCTTTAATAATCATTTATCTTATATCATTAATGAGATAAGTTGCTTTATCTTCAAGAATACTAACATTTTTTATGAAATCTGTAAAATGTCCTTTAAAGAGTGGATGTCTGTAGATATCATCCCATGAAAATCTATCTTTTTCTTCAGCTTATAAACATCCTGTTAAGAATTCTTAAGCTTCTTTTGAAATTTATGGTCCTTTAAATTGTAAAGGTTGATTTCTAATATTTTTAAGTAATTCTTATGGTGATCTAGCAGTCCAGGGAGCTAAAGGGATATAATTAGTAAAAGAAATACTTTTGCCAAATAATGCTTCATAAAAAATAAATGCTATGCTCCAAATATCTGTTTTTGAAGTGTATTTCTTGTTATCCAAAATTTGAGGAGACATATAAAGTGGTGTTCCTACTAAAGATGCTAACATATCCTTTTTAAAATTATCTACACATTTTGCAAATCCAAAGTCTGCCAATTTGAATGTCTAAAATAATTTTAATAAGTATACTCCTTTATCTATTAGTATGTTGGCAGGTTTAAGATCTCTATGAATGATTCCATTTTTAATTAACTAAATAAATCCATTTAAAATATCAATCATAAATTTGACAGCATCCTTTTCAGGCATAGTCTTTTTTTATGATACATAACTAGATTATTGTGTATTGATACTTTTCTATCATTTTATCTAAATCTCCACTATCACAATATTCTTGAATTATATAATAATTGTTATTAGTTTCCATCACATCCATAAGTTGTACAATATTGGGACTCTTCAATTTCTACATTACTTTGATTTCTGATATCAAACCTTCTCTTAAATAATCATCGCTGAACATTTGTCAAATATTTATACGCATTGATGACTGATTTGTTCAATACCTTAATGGCTACTTTGACTCCTGTCTTCTCCTCTCGTCCTCTGAACACTTGAGCATATGAACCTTCTCCGATAAGATCTTTAGGATTGAAGAGATATTTGTCGATTCTTTTCTCCCCCATTAAATAAATTTAAATTCAATCATCTTCATCATAATCATCATCCGATTATTATCTTCGAACTCTTTTTGATTTTCGTCCTCCTACTTTCTTTTCTACCTTTTCAAACTCATCATTCCCTTTACGTTTCTTACCCACTTCATCACTCTATTCATCCAATTGTAAACCTTTCTTCTTCTTTTTGCTTTCCTCCAAATCAGGTAATTTTGAAGCATAATCCTTCATGAAATCGTATTAAGATTCCTATAAAACTATCTTCCTTTTATTTAATATCATTTTTACAATAAACCAGGTGTGGCTTTATTGAGTTTCCTATCTTTCAAAGTTTCTTTGCATTTTGAAAGGATGTCTGATAAAAATAATTCAAGTGATTTTGCTTTCGATAACACTCAAGTAATACTTAATACATAAGGAACTACATTGTTAATTTTGCCAACATCTTAATTTTCCTATACAATCTTTTTCACTTTAGAAACAGGGAATTTCAATTGATTCTTTTTTAATTATTGATCTTGTTGTGTGTCCATTTTATATATTATTATTTTATAAATTATAATCCATAAATGTATATTAATATATATATATATAAATTAAATGACAGATTTTTTTTACATCCAAGTACCAGCTGATGTTAAAGTCTTATTGTTAACTGGAACTTCTCTCAATAAAAATCAATTAGATCAAGTATATAAATGCACTAACCTACTTAAATTGGATTTGTCAAATTGCAATCTAACCCTAATTCCAAATCTCAAAAAATTAACGAATTTAAGGATTCTATACTTACATTAGAATTAGATCACTTCACTTTCAGTAGAACCAATCTTAGGATGCAATCATTTAAATTATCTCACTCTTTTCTTAAATCCAGTTTCAGCTCAATGTTCATTAAGAAGATAAGTGATATCATATATGAAATCTCTTTGGGCATTCGACTTTAATGTAATAACTGATGAAGAGAAATACAAAGAATTAAAATTAAAGTAATCCATAGAGAAGAGTCGTCTTCCATGGCCTATCATAAGTACTCCAAAAGAATTAAAGGATTAATCTCAAATAGTTATATTGGTTTGGTAAGAATTAGATGTGATCAGGAAGATTTGGCAAAAGTGTTCTGTTATTATAACTATCTAACGATATATAAAAAGTTTTATAACAAGAAGAAAGTTCAAGAACATTGTTATAAAATAGATGAAAATACAGTAAATAGTAATTTATATTTAGAGCATTTATAAAGCAAGCAGTTAAACATTGGATAACATTTACTAAGAATAAAAAGGATCTTAATTAATTATTAGCACATTAATATAGTACATAATTTGAGAAAGTTAAAGTAATGGTTTAAAATTATAGATAAAGAAAAGGCAAGATAATTAAAGAATAAAAGAGTGCTAGAATTATATACAGATCCTTAAAGTTCTTTTAGTAAAATTAAAAATAATAACTTGAATGTATTGGAAGTATACATAGACTCTATTTCTATAAAGAATAATTAAATCTATTCAAATAAATTTTAAATAGACTCAGTAATAAACCTGAAATCAGATCAATTATTGATTAGACTCCTTTTTTGTATGAGGATTTTTAAAAGCCTAATAAGATTTATGATTCAGAGGTATTCACATATAGATTACCTAATTAAATCAATTTATATAATAATCCTATTTATTTTAAGAATATGCTTACATATCCTGCTTCTTTAACTAAAATAAGTTGTTGTTTATAATAATTAAAATTAAGTATAATAAGAAAATGGACATCTGTAAGTAAATTTTCATAAGATGTACATGCTTATTCCTATTTATAAAAATATGATGAGTTAATGCCTGCAAGAAAACCATATTTTATTATGTACAAATTACCAAAGTAAGATAAAATTAAATATGAGAATTGTTTAAAATAAATCAACAAATTTCAATAAAGAGAATATAGATAATTATATGTCATAAATTTAAGTAAAGAATTACTATCTTTGATAATTAAGTGTATAATATTGCATAATAAGGATCATCCATCATAAGTGTTTATAACAATATTTGAAAAGTAATTAAAAGAGGCAGTAGCTGCATTGAAGATTTAAAGATAATTTAGAGCTTATTAGGATGTAAAGAAGAATGGGAAAACATTACAAGCTATAATTAATATTTTAGTAAAAGAAAGATCTCTTTTGATATTATAAAAATGGTTTAAGGATTTGAAAATGCATCATAGAAATAATTTTTTTAAGATAATAGGTTATAGACTTAAACAAATCCAATAAAATGTTTTATATCTAAATTATTCAATATATGTATAATTAAGTAAGTGTTAATCTAAGTTACAGTTTCTTGAATAAAAATCAAAATTAAGTTTAATGAATTATAAATTTTAAGCAATTCTTGAATAATATCCAAAGAAAAATATTATACCTATTTGGTTAAAGAAATAAATTATTTAATTGGATGATGAGTAATAAGAGATATTTGCTCTAATAGAGAATTGTGATATATATCATTTATTACATTTTGAAACATAAAGTGAAATTAAGAATTTATTTAATCAAAAATGGATGAAAATTACATTCCCATAAAATGATTAATTAAAATTGAGACTATTATTATTGGCACTATATACATATTCTTTTAAAAATTAATGTTTTGTATAATTATACTAAGAAAATGAATTATTAGAATAAACATAAATAGTGAGACAAAAAGATGAATTACTTATAAAAACCTATTTAATTTAATTATAAACTTAAAATGTAGAAAATTGTGAAATACCATCTAAACCATCAATATGGTTATCAACATTTTTATCTGATAAAACAACAAATGAAGTTGAAGTTAGATTTTATAAAAATGGAATTGATTAAAAAACTAAAAAAAGAAAAAATATTTCAAAATTACCAGGATGTGAATAAATTTCAACTTGTCTTTTTTTTAGTTCAATAAAAAAGTAATATAATTAAAATTCTCATTCTTAAATCAAATAAAACTGTCCTACTGCTTCAACTAATGTAAGAACAATTACTTAAACTGATAAACCTAAAACTGCCCTTCAAACTTATATATTTCAATAAGACAGTTTTGAGTAAGAATCAAGCAATGTTGAAAGATAACAATAAAGATTAAGATTAGTTACTAATCCTACACGATAACATCTCAGAACTAAGTCTGTTATGAACAAAAAATAAACTATGTAGGTTGAATTACCAACATTCTTACATTCATAAAGTTTTAATTTAAGCAATAGTGGCATAAGATAAAATAATTAACAAGATATATCTAAATAAATGTAATATTGGGAAGATAGATAAAATTAATAAAGATAATAGATAAAAAAGTAAAATTAAGAAAAAAGATAAGTTAAATTATAGATTCAATAAGAAAGATCTTTTTATTAGGATTTCAATATTGGCTAAAATCTTATTAGCAGATAAGGTGATAGACATTTACTTCGTATATATTAGAAGAAATAATAATAAATATCCTATTAACATGTATAATAAGTTAAAGAATAATCCAATCACATTAAAGAGATTTAAGTAATCAATAGCAAAATGAAATTATAAGCTATTAAAGAAGCTAATTTATAATATAAGGCTTCTCTTGAATAACCAGAATAATAATAGAAAACTATCTAAAAACAATAAACAAAAAGAGTAGGAATTACCAATAAATATATCCATTCTGTATTACCTGAAGAGATATTTCCAATAAAAATTGAGTTTGAAAATATATGATATAATTAAATTCATAAATATATGGGTTGTTAATGTTGTAAGGATGAAGAAAGTGTTAAAGATAGAAAATAAAGTGAGTTACCAGATAATTGGAATCCAAATAGAGTTGACATTATTAATACTAAAACTAAAGTTAAAGTTATCTATTCTTAAGGTGATTCTTCAAAAATTGATGGCAATGTATTTGCTGTAAGTACAAAAGGACTTTCACCTTTACTTTCAAATTAAATAATTAATGCTACTGTTTAAGATTGTTTAAAAGAAAATGATGGTGCATTTTAATTTGGAGATTGCTATTAAATTAATATAAAAGAAAAGAAGATCTTTTTGATTTGTATACCTATGTGGAGAGGTGGTTAATTTAATGAGAACAAAATTATTGAGGTTGCTTTTAATAAATTGGCAAAATAAATTAAAGAATCATCTTTGAAATAAATTGTAATAGATGAAGTAGGTGTTAGATATTTTGGATATCCAAGATAAGTATATTAATATAAATATATAAAATAGGTAATTGTATCAAGTTTAATACATTCATTTAAACAATTTATGGTTGAATAAACTTATTTAGAATAGATCATTTATACTTCAAATGATAGAGCAACAATAGCTTTGATTGAATCTTAACTTAAATTATCTAATCCTCAATTATTTTAAGAGGATGAAAAATTAGATATAAGAAAAATAGCTAAAAAGAACGACAATGATGTCACTTCAGATTTAGAACAACCCCTATTAGCAGAATGAAGTTGAAATAATAAATTATTATTGTTTCATTATTTTATTTAATATATTTCTTAAAAATTTAATGTGCATAACAAATTTTAAGATTAATATATTATTATTTCTATATTTTATTAGACTTATACATTTGTTTATGATATTTTAATTCTTATTAATATATTTATTATTGTTATACATGTAATGTAGTATAATAAATGAAACTGGAACCATTAAATACTTGCATGTAGTAATGATAAATTGTTAAAAAAAGATTGGTATAATGGGGAGATAAACAATAGATATGTCTTCTAAATTTGAATGATGTTATTGACAGAGATGTATCCTCTCTCTTAAATTAATATTTTTTCATTTGACTAAATTCATTTGTTAATTTTCAAATATATGTAGATAAATTTTTGAGAGAAATGAATACTTAATAACATATGCTAATCATAACTGAATTATCAATATATCCTAAGTGAAATCAAAAATTAATAGGTTTTTCAATTCAAAAAAAGTTTAAATGAATTTGAAGAATTATATAGTTTGTGTAATTGTAAAAATTAAGAATGTTATTCTAATGTGGAAATCCAATTTGGATTTTATCATAAAGAGTTTGAATAAAAATTTGAAATTATCACTTGAATTGGGTTTGGATAATTTGTTCTTTAGTCTCAAATGAAAAAAACTTAAATGTACTAAGTAAAAGGTATTAATAGTTTTATCTATAAATACATATGAAAAGTTTGGATTTGGAGATGAATATTAATTACTGTTAGTTAGATATAAATAAATGATAGTTTTAGTTGATCTTTAGTGAAATGGAGGTTGAAAAAATCATCATATTTTTCAACAATTTCAATTAAGTTGATTAATAATTATAATAATGAGAGTCTCTGTATGGTTTGTGTTATGTTTGAGAGTATCAGAATGAACTTATAGAGGGTTCTAAGATGAAGATTTTGGAATTTAGGAGAGATTGATAAGGTTTGGGCATACTTATGAGGAATTGTCTAATGAGTGGAAAAGAGGAAGGAGAATTAGTTTTTGAAGGTGTTTAGAGTGTTTTTAGTTTGATTTGTAATGTTTTTGGTTTTCCTTGGGATAGTATCTTCCTATATATTCAAGTTTCTTTAATTATTAATCGATTGGGCACCAAAGAAATGAAATCAAGACCAAGACAGATCGATCCAACAAAACCAGTACTGATCTCTAACAGTTTAGAAGCATTCACTAATGCAGAAGGACAAGAAGCAGACATAAAAAATACAGAATAAATCATTACTCCTGATCAACTCTTAAAAGAAAAGTAAATTGCACACATTCAATCAATTACTTATAAGGAGCAAGTATAACATTTTCATACTACTTGATTGTTGTTTATAACAACTTGCTTCTCTATACCCGCCATATTTATTTTTATATTATACTCATTATTATTTAGACCTAAATAATTTGAGGAGCCCACATTAAAATCACAACTTCCTGCTAAATGTCGTGAAGATTACATCTCATACAAGGCTCCTGTATATCCAGATGGCACAGCTTATGAATTAACTGAAGAGGATATTCATTTCCTATCAACAATCAATGAAAAACTATAACATCCTGTTCATATTGAAGACTTTGAATAATATTTAGCACTTCTTGACTAAAAAAGTGGAAAAGATGTAGAAATTGACTTTACAGAATTTCTTAAGTTAAAATTACCCTTACCCAAGACCATTAATATATAAATGTAATCTACTTAGGAATTATTATATGCCTACTTTAAAAAATAGAGATAACATTTTTCTCGCTCTCTAACCAGATATCTTATGCATCCCTATTATGAAGACAACAATCCTCATCTAGCCTTTCGTCCTCGTTCATAACCTATGGATAGAACTATGAAATTAAGACGAGGCAATCTTTAAAACACAAGAGGTGTAATAGAAATGGAGAATGTAGGATAGAAGATTGTTATGTTAAAGAAAGATCTATTAATGGTTTCAAATTTGATTGATTAAAGTTTATAAAGAGAAAAGGCTATGGAAATTGATAGAAGATTTAATTTTTGTAAATTTATCAAAGAATTTTTGGATTAATCTAAAAGGGAAAAAGATAATAATTCAGAAATTAAATAATGGCCTAAAGATTGTTTTGTTAGAGATTGTTCTGAAAAATGCTCTATTAATATAGTAGAAAAGTCTGAAGAGATGTTTGATCATATTACAAAAGAAATTTTACATTGGAAAGAGTAGAATGAAATTTAAAAAAGAGATAAATTAAAAAAAGAAGATTAAATTGTTAGATATGAAAAATAAATTGAAGATTTAATTATAGAAAAACAAAAATATGAAGAAAAACCTATTGTATAACCACCACCACCTATTGTATAACCACCTATTGTTCCACCACCTATTCCTGTGATTCCTCAAGAACCTCCTGATGAAAAATCTGAAAGTGTTGCTAGATTTTTGGCTACTTTATATTTAGAGGCTAGAAAATATTAATTAACTTTTGATTAGGTTCTATCTGATTCATTTCCAATTTATAAAATACAACATCAATAGCAACCACTCAATTCTAAAAGTATTTTCCCTTTTTCATTGATGCAAATTGAAGGAAATGATTTAGTCTATAAAGTTAAAAAAGATAATTGTTTGGAGAAAAATGATAAAGCTTATTGGGAAAATTACACAGATCCATCATTATCAAATACATTATATTATTAGAATGACTATTTTAAATAAAAAGTTAATGATATCATGGAAATGGCTGATATGGATTAAATGGTTTATGCTTAAGGTTAAGATGATGATAAACAAGATGAAGATGATAAATTATTCAAAAAGAAAGTAAAAGGAAGTACAACTAGACTAACTGGTTCTAATGGAGGATAAATTAAATGATTAATAACTAATTTAGTATTTAAAATATTAAATATGTAATAATCAAATAAAAGGGTTCTTTAATCTATATAAATTAATTTATTTCTTCTATTTTTATCCCTAAAAATATTATTAGATTAATAAATTATTGATTATATTAATTGATATATGCATATTATTATTGAGAATACTACTGAGTTTCATCATATAAATACAAATATATTAATAAAGAAAAATATGTATTTTATAATTTTCTTACATTTTAATTAATTAGTAATTCATACTCTATTATATTATTAGAATCCCTTCTACTCTATAATTTATCATAAATCAATATATTTTTTTATTTCTTTTTATCTTGACCTTTCTCACAATATAATTCAAATATCTTCACACAAGATTAGTAATAATTAATAATTTATTAGATCCCTTTTCATGCTCAAATATCTTAAAGATAATCATTTCACATTAATTATATTATATTTATGATTCTTCATTTATTCTTTTATTGTAACAAATATTTTATACCCATTTAAAAATAATTGTTTAATTCATAAGCTTTTTTCTTCTTTTATTTCAATTAAGTATTTTTAGTTATTTGTTAACCTTTATAACCTTTTCCATTACCTTCAAATTTAAATCTAATTATTTTTAACTTGCTCTTGTGACAACACTACTTATTTAATTATTTATATTGTATGTTTATGAATGTACATTGTAATAAAATCAATAGAAGAAACCAAGGATTTTACCTCCGATATGTCTTTATCTAGCCTCTTCATGAGTAAGAATACCAACATTAGTGGTTAACACAACGCATCCAAATTGTCTGGCTGGTAAAATGTTATTTGCCCATCTCTCAAATTCGCCTAAGGTCACATCATAACGAGGTGAGATGACTCCACATTTATTAATGCGTCCTTAAATAAATGAAATATTGTACCCAATAATTCTACTACAATTTTTCCACTTCTGTGATCATCAACAATTTCAAACTCACCTATATATCCGTGTCTCTACATCACTTGTAAGAATTTCACTACTAATTTTGATGTTGGTCTAATTAATACTTATTTTCTTCCTTGTCTTTTCAAATTAAATAATTTATAATACCTTTCAGCATTAACAATTGAACGAAGACAATCATTGAGAACATTCATCTTAACCATTTTAAATTAAAGATTTAAAATATATTAATATTTTATATATTAATTCCTACATTCTCTCTCATTTAGATTTCTTACTTTCCCATACATATACATTATTTATCTACTAATATCATATACATAATATTATTAATCTTATTGAAATCACTTTTTCATTAATTTTAATTACTTTTTAAGTTCAAATTAATTATATATCTCATTCTCTTTAAATCTTATAATATCATTGTAATGATCTAATTGTTATATTTAATTTATTGTAATCATTTATTTTACTTTCTAAATCAAATCAAAATATCATTTATTTATATAAACTACTAATGTTATTATAAATAATTAGTCGATTTAAATACTACTATATATTTAAATCTAATATAAATATTATGGGATATTTATTAATAAATCTATTTGATAATATAATATTTTGTGTATATTAAAAAAATACACTTAATAATTATTCAGATATTAAAGTAAATAAATGAATTAATAAACAAAATAGTAATAAAAAATAACTTCAATTTTTGGAGATACATTTATTTATAGTAGAGAATATTTATTAATAAACAATTAGGAGTTAATTAAAAATTTATTATTATATAATTGATAAAAATTCTAAAATTAGAACTTTTATTATTAAAATTCTGAATTATGGAGGTTGTTATTTAGCAAAATGAAATAAAGAGTCAAATTCTTCACAATTACTTGAAGCAAACATATTCACCAGCACTAGTAAATCATCTCTTTTAGACTGAGAATTATTTGCAATAGGAATTAAATGATTTTCAAAAGTATACAATTTATATAGAAATAGAGTAAATGAAGATAGCGATTAGTTAGAGGAATTAATCTTGGAGCATAAGACAGCTATTTCAAAGACTGTTAAATAATTAATTGATAAGATATAATCAGAATAAGTTTTAGATAGTTCTATAAATAGGATAAAATGAAAAAAGCAGAGACTTATAAAAAAGGAAAGAAAGATGAATTATCCGCTATCTAAAAAGCAATTGACTCAATTTCTACTGCAATGAAAGAAACTTGTTCAAAGGTATTGAATATTTATAACGGTAGATTGACATTAAAGAGTTAAATAAGATTGGTCAGTTACCTTAAGGAATGGATCAATTTATGGGGAAATTATTTTCAATAGTTTACAATGAAGATCAAAGTAAATTTAATTGGATTGAATTTAAGAAAAAAGTGTAAGAATTAATTATTAAATTAATAGTTTTGATTAGGATAAAGGAAGTGATATGTAGAGTAGATTAGCTAATTTTTAATTTAAAGGAGTCAATTAAGAAAAAGAAAACCTATTACTATAAATGAAAGCTGATCCTTAATTCTAGAAAGTATTTTAAGATCCAAAATATACAAGAGCATTCTTAGATATTGCTGATTGGGTTTTAAAGTATTTATCATATATAGATTTCTTTTGTTGTTTCTGGTATTGAGACTTAAAGAAAGAAGGATCTTGTGCATTAAGAATTTGATAGAATTGATAAAGAATTTAGTGCAAGAAAAGTAGAACTTGAAAGTTATTAAAAAACATTTGTAATTTTTATTAATAGTTTTAGGAATTTTGGAATTCATAATTAATTTATTCAGAAAATTAATTAATATTTCTTAATAAATTAAAACCAAATATTAAATAAATAGAATCAGATATTTATAAAAGTAAATAGAAATTAGATATACATGTTGATAAATATTTAACAGAAATTAAAAAAATGAATGATTTATTTTAAAAAAACATTTGAAAAGAAATATCCTTATAACAAATTAAATTAAAATTCTTTATCATCTTTTATTAGAATGTTTGGGTAATTCTGTTTAAGATAATATTCTAATTCTATTTGGGGAATTTTATTGTTTTCTAGTTGATAATCTTACAGATGTTCTGAGACTCTGGAAAATTTAAATATATATAATACAATTGGATTTTATGTAAGAAAGTGTTAACCTTTCGGAATTTCAACAATAGAAGAATCCTTTTTATTTTCTTTAACTTTATGATTGTATTTGTAAGGATTATCACTTTCATATATTCTTTCTGACATTAACATAGGAATTTGTACTTTTTATTTGATTTCATTTTTTATTATTGGAAGATCTTTAGGATTTTCAAAAATTAATTAATCAATTTACTTAAATTCTGATTGAGTATTTTAATTCTTATCAGAATTAAGTTGACAACTCTTTTATCTTAATGATCTATTTACTTTTTCAGTTTCAGATCTGTAATACTATGATGTACTTAATTTTCTAAGTCGATTCTAATTCATAATAGTTCATATTTACTAGACGTTATTCAGTTTATTCTTTTTCTTGCAACCTTCTTAAAATAGCCACTTATTGATGATCATATGATTTTTTAGCTGTCTTAATGAAAGCAGCTTCTTCCTATTCTTCATCATTATCATCTTTTAACTCAACTACTTTATTATAACATATATCCTCTAAAGATAAGAGGTTTTTGCATTATTTAATCTTCTATTGATTATTCAACTAATTTGAGTTAATCTTTTGAATAAGTTCTTCTCTTAATACACAATAATTCATATATTATATCATATTGGGAAAACTCAATGGGATGAAATTTAATTCTTCTTTTTTTCCTTGTTTTTCTGTAGATTCCTTTACTTTTCTCATAAGTTCAGCAAACACTAATGATTTAATAATTAAAGCTTACTTTACAATGCTTCCTAGTTTTACAAGGCTTATTTAAAGTCATTCCAATTGAGTTTGTCTGAGTTTAAATGATGAGTTTACCATCTTCGTCTTAATCGATTCTTTTAAAAAATTCTTTGAGCTTAGTTTTAGTGATGTTAATGCCATACCGTTTGAACATATCATAGAGTTCTTATCTATCTAAGAATTCTAAAAATAAAGTTAAAGAATAAAATGTAACTTGATTTGTCTCTATCAATTGATTTGAAAACAGCCTTCATCATTATTTGTTCTTTGAGTTCTTTTTCATTTAAGATATATTTTTCCCTAACTTAATTCTTAAATCTGTTTTTCAACCAATTCATAGTTTCAAAATTTTTGAGTTTCTTAGACACCTACTTATCCATACTAAATTAAATAAAAATTAGAGTTAAAAATTAAACAAATTCAATTAATCAAGCCTATAAACCTTAAGGATTTATTTCTTCATTCATTTAAAATGTAGCCAGTTTTTACTGTATTAAGTATCTTCTTAGAATAAACAAGATGCCAATTAATATGATAAATATTAAAGAAAATACTAGAATCATGTAAATAGGATTATCACTATTATTATTAGATTTAATTTAAGGTAGTTATTCTGGTTATTCAATTGGTTATTCTCCCTTTGAATTAATATTATTTGTAGTTGAATTGGTATTTGTATTTTTATTAGAATCAATAAAAAATTTCTCAAATGCATTTAATAAAGAAGCAGCTTCTTAAACGGATAACTTATCAAATTCTTCTTAGAAAGTTAAATTTTGGTTTTTAGTATTATAAAAGAATTTTGCTAAAATCATTTCTTCATTGCTGACATTTGCATGTTACCAAGTTAAAGGAGAAATATACTAAGTAGTATTTTTATTTTTCTGATTTTAATCAAGGATGAATGTTTAATTGGATATATGTTCAATTAAATTAGTTTGGTTATACTTTGTAGGATCTTCTGATTAAATCATTTAATTGATATTTACAACAACATACTATAAAATAATACTTTTATCATCCTATTATTGATATAATAAACAATACATCTGTTTGATTTTACCATTATTCAATATATTGTTGTGTTGCTTACAATCCTTTTTAATCTTATGGAATAATTTCTTGAAATTATTAATTATTGATAATGTTTAAAATAGATTAGTTTTTCATTTGTTTCTAAGTTTTATTAAGGAAGTTTTCTGTGTTAACCCACAATTCTAATGCAAAATTGGCATTTTCTTGGGCTTATTAATTTGTCAAATTCATAGATTTTTCTAATTCTATGAATCGAGTTAGATAATAGATTTATTGCATTTTTAGTGGATCATTAAATTAGGAAAAATTAAACTAAGGAGTTTATTGACTAGCTAAAGATATAAATGTTAGAATTAGAATTTGAAGCATATATAATTTATGTTATATATTTTATTGTATTTAATTATAATTCAAATTTGAAGTACCCCGGTCGTAGGATATTTTGGATATTCAAATGTGGGGTAACTGCTGAAATTCAAATAATTTTTTTAGAGAGTTTTCATCACACAACACTTTAAAAATGAGAGAAGTCATATCTATTCACGTAGGATAAGGAGGTATTTAAGTTGGTAATGCCTGTTGGGAATTATTCTGTCTTGAACACGGAATCCAACCAGATGGTTAAATGCCATCAGACAAGACAATCGGAGGAGGAGATGATGCCTTCAACACCTTTTTCTCTGAAACTGGTGCAGGAAAGCACGTCCCAAGAGCTGTCTTTTTGGATTTGGAACCAACAGTTATTGATGAAGTCAGAACAGGAACATACAGATAATTATTCCACCCAGAATAATTGATTTCAGGAAAAGAAGATGCTGCCAACAACTTCGCCAGAGGTCACTATACAATCGGAAAGGAAATCGTCGATTTGTGCTTAGACAGAATCAGAAAGTTAGCTGATAACTGCACAGGTCTCTAAGGTTTCTTGGTCTTCCACTCAGTCGGAGGAGGAACAGGATCAGGATTGGGATCACTTTTATTGGAAAGATTGTCAGTCGATTATGGTAAGAAATCTAAATTGGGTTTCACCATCTATCCATCACCATAAGTTTCAACAGCCGTCGTTGAACCATATAACTCCATCTTGTCAACCCACTCATTGTTGGAACACACTGATGTCTGTGTCATGTTGGATAATGAAGCCATTTATGATATTTGCAGAAGAAATTTGGATATTGAAAGACCAACATACACAAACTTGAACAGATTGATTGCTTAAGTCATTTCATCATTGACAGCTTCATTGAGATTTGATGGTGCCTTGAATGTCGATATCACTGAATTCTAAACCAATTTGGTGCCATATCCAAGAATCCACTTTATGCTTTGCTCATATGCTCCAATCATCTCAGCTGAAAAAGCTTATCACGAATAATTATCAGTTGCTGAAATCACAAACTCAGCCTTTGAACCAGCCAACATGATGGCTAAGTGTGATCCAAGACATGGTAAATACATGGCTTGCTCCATGCTTTACAGAGGTGATGTCGTCCCCAAGGATGTCAATGCTGCTATTGCAACAATCAAGACAAAGAGAACAATCTAATTCGTCGATTGGTGCCCAACAGGATTCAAGGTCGGAATCAACTATCAACCACCAACAGTCGTCCCAGGAGGTGATTTGGCTAAGGTTATGAGAGCTGTTTGTATGATCTCCAACTCAACTGCTATTGCTGAAGTTTTCTCCAGACTTGATCATAAATTCGATCTTATGTATGCCAAGAGAGCCTTCGTCCACTGGTACGTCGGTGAAGGTATGGAAGAAGGAGAATTCTCTGAAGCCAGAGAAGATCTTGCTGCCTTAGAAAAGGATTATGAAGAAGTTGGTATTGAAACTGCTGAAGGAGAAGGTGAAGAAGGAGAAGCATGAAAAATCAATATATATATAAATCNGATAATTATTCCACCCAGAATAATTGATTTCAGGAAAAGAAGATGCTGCCAACAACTTCGCCAGAGGTCACTATACAATCGGAAAGGAAATCGTCGATTTGTGCTTAGACAGAATCAGAAAGTTAGCTGATAACTGCACAGGTCTCTAAGGTTTCTTGGTCTTCCACTCAGTCGGAGGAGGAACAGGATCAGGATTGGGATCACTTTTATTGGAAAGATTGTCAGTCGATTATGGTAAGAAATCTAAATTGGGTTTCACCATCTATCCATCACCATAAGTTTCAACAGCCGTCGTTGAACCATACAACTCCATCTTGTCAACCCACTCATTGTTGGAACACACTGATGTCTGTGTCATGTTGGATAATGAAGCCATTTATGATATTTGCAGAAGAAATTTGGATATTGAAAGACCAACATACACAAACTTGAACAGATTGATTGCTTAAGTCATTTCATCATTGACAGCTTCATTGAGATTTGATGGTGCCTTGAATGTCGATATCACTGAATTCTAAACCAATTTGGTGCCATATCCAAGAATCCACTTTATGCTTTGCTCATATGCTCCAATCATCTCAGCTGAAAAAGCTTATCACGAATAATTATCAGTTGCTGAAATCACAAACTCAGCCTTTGAACCAGCCAACATGATGGCTAAGTGTGATCCAAGACATGGTAAATACATGGCTTGCTCCATGCTTTACAGAGGTGATGTCGTCCCCAAGGATGTCAATGCTGCTATTGCAACAATCAAGACAAAGAGAACAATCTAATTCGTCGATTGGTGCCCAACAGGATTCAAGGTCGGAATCAACTATCAACCACCAACAGTCGTCCCAGGAGGTGATTTGGCTAAGGTTATGAGAGCTGTTTGTATGATCTCCAACTCAACTGCTATTGCTGAAGTTTTCTCCAGACTTGATCATAAATTCGATCTTATGTATGCCAAGAGAGCCTTCGTCCACTGGTACGTCGGTGAAGGTATGGAAGAAGGAGAATTCTCTGAAGCCAGAGAAGATCTTGCTGCCTTAGAAAAGGATTATGAAGAAGTTGGTATTGAAACTGCTGAAGGAGAAGGTGAAGAAGGAGAAGCATGAAAAATCAATATATATATAAATCAAATAATCAAACATTCCTAAAATATTTTATTAAATTTACACTCTTATGAATCAATCCNCTCAGAAACAGGTGCAGGAAAGCACGTCCCAAGAGCTGTCTTTTTGGATTTGGAACCAACAGTTATTGATGAAGTCAGAACAGGAACATACAGATAATTATTCCACCCAGAATAATTGATTTCAGGAAAAGAAGATGCTGCCAACAACTTCGCCAGAGGTCACTATACAATCGGAAAGGAAATCGTCGATTTGTGCTTAGACAGAATCAGAAAGTTAGCTGATAACTGCACAGGTCTCTAAGGTTTCTTGGTCTTCCACTCAGTCGGAGGAGGAACAGGATCAGGATTGGGATCACTTTTATTGGAAAGATTGTCAGTCGATTATGGTAAGAAATCTAAATTGGGTTTCACCATCTATCCATCACCATAAGTTTCAACAGCCGTCGTTGAACCATACAACTCCATCTTGTCAACCCACTCATTGTTGGAACACACTGATGTCTGTGTCATGTTGGATAATGAAGCCATTTATGATATTTGCAGAAGAAATTTGGATATTGAAAGACCAACATACACAAACTTGAACAGATTGATTGCTTAAGTCATTTCATCATTGACAGCTTCATTGAGATTTGATGGTGCCTTGAATGTCGATATCACTGAATTCTAAACCAATTTGGTGCCATATCCAAGAATCCACTTTATGCTTTGCTCATATGCTCCAATCATCTCAGCTGAAAAAGCTTATCACGAATAATTATCAGTTGCTGAAATCACAAACTCAGCCTTTGAACCAGCCAACATGATGGCTAAGTGTGATCCAAGACATGGTAAATACATGGCTTGCTCCATGCTTTACAGAGGTGATGTCGTCCCCAAGGATGTCAATGCTGCTATTGCAACAATCAAGACAAAGAGAACAATCTAATTCGTCGATTGGTGCCCAACAGGATTCAAGGTCGGAATCAACTATCAACCACCAACAGTCGTCCCAGGAGGTGATTTGGCTAAGGTTATGAGAGCTGTTTGTATGATCTCCAACTCAACTGCTATTGCTGAAGTTTTCTCCAGACTTGATCATAAATTCGATCTTATGTATGCCAAGAGAGCCTTCGTCCACTGGTACGTCGGTGAAGGTATGGAAGAAGGAGAATTCTCTGAAGCCAGAGAAGATCTTGCTGCCTTAGAAAAGGATTATGAAGAAGTTGGTATTGAAACTGCTGAAGGAGAAGGTGAAGAAGGAGAAGCATGAAAAATCAATATATATAAAAATCAAAAATTATTAAAACATTTCACAATATTATTTATTATAACTAATAGAAAGAAATACAATAATTTCATTTTTGTTTAGCAATTATACTATTGATAACATTATTATTCTAATAATAATTAATTATTATTTCTATAGAGATTAGTGAGCTTTATTCAGAATTTAATGAGATATCAATTTTGAATATGAAAATCTAATGAAATTATGATAAAAAAGTAATACTAATTCTAAAGCTATTTAGAAATAATTATGAGAATTGCAGAAGCTGCTGCTTTTGATGTAATATTATTTGATCCTTTTTATTTTAATGGAAATAGTTTTATAAATAGATTAGATCATAATATAATGAAGTAAATGTTCAAGATGATGAATAATTAAGTAATATATAATTTATAATCACTATCTATATAAATAAAAACCAATTTGAAATCTTCAAAGCTAACTTTTTTGATTTTCAATTTCTAAATGAAATTCTTAAGGTAATTTTAAAAGAACCCTTGAAAAATGATTCTTCTTCAATGGTTGATTTGGTTATGAATACATCTTTTCTCTTGGATTGGTTTACCTATTTTAATTAGATGTTAATTCCAATTATTCTTTTTTTTCTTCATTTAAATTAATTTATTTTCCAAAACTCATGTTATATAAATTTAGCAAGTCATTTCTTTAATTTTCATTTTAAACTATCTATTTATCTTATCTCTACTCTAAAAATGGTTCTGGTGTCTTAATTAAAGGCAGTCGAATATCAGTATCCATCTTATTTCTAGCATCAGCTGATTTTGGAATCTATTAAAATATCGATTAAGATTTAGGTGATTGCATTTTCTTTATTTTTTAGGTTCCATTACATGCTCCTAATAGTCTATTTATTAGTTATTGCTTTTCTTTATTTTCTTGAACTAATTCTTCATTTTTCTTCTATAAATATTCAATCATTTCGTTTTATTCTTTTGGAGAAAGCATTCTTGAATTTTTCTTATTCCCATTATCTAAATGATTTGGGCATTCCTATTCAATTGTTTGAAAGTTCTTAGGACTTCTATAAGATTGTATGCTCTCTTAAACCTTATGAAACAGTTTCTTAAGAATAATGAATTATTTTACTTAATCATCAGTTATCACAAGTAAGTTTTTAACTTTTATCTATTTTCTTTATATTCCATCAACATGGTGTGAAAATTATCGGGTTTCTTTTTGAGGCATTTAAGATTTTAACCCTAATTTATTTGTTCTTGCACTTAACATATGAATTTTGTTATAGTTATCTTGTAATTATGCCAAGTTTGAATTGGTTTGAGAACTTTTCATCAACTTAATAAATCTTTGTTAAATTAATTATTAATTGAAAGTAAAGCAGACTCTTTATAAAGTCTTAATTAAATCACTCTTACTGATATCAACTACATATATTTAATTGATTAAGTGAAATTTTGATTTCTAACTACAAACAAATACTTATAATATATTTATGAGGGAAATATTTTAAACAAAGTATTTAAATTCAATCAGAATTTCATTATAACAAGTACCTATCACAATCTTATTCAATAGATTACAATATATAAATGATAATAATCATTTTAAAGATATTCAATCATCAATCAAAATATTTTATTAAAGATGTAATTATTTCTTATTACTTTAAAATTTAGAAATATTTGAAAACTCTTCATTACGACATAACGATATGATTTCAACCTATTTGTAGATTATACTAAAGTTAACATTAAGATAAATACAATATTTTAGTAACAATATTTCCAAACTTGATTTGCATAAATGACTCATATATATATATATATTTCGTTTATCTTTTTGATTTATATTAATATATCAAATTCATGTTGAAAACTATATTATTACATTAAATTTAATAGTATGAATTAAGATGATATTTTTTTAGAATTAAAAAAAAGCCTAAATAAACATAAAATTAGCTTAAATAATATTGATTAATTCTTTTAAATCTATTTATTTCAATAAAATTTTACTAATAATGTTTTACAACTTTTATAAACAAAGATATAAATATGATCTCTAGATTAAAAATAATTCATTTAATTTATTAATAAATTAGAACAGAAAATAATTCATATTAATTTTATGTTATAGTTAATTAATTTGATAAAATTGAGACAATAACAGCTATGTGAACATTAACCTTATGATCCAAAAATTGATAAGGAACGTATAAATTAAGAGAATTAATTACTCTAAATCTTATATCGTTTCTAAAGAGTTCATATTGATGAAAAGTAAGAGAAATTATGATTTAATTTAATCAGATTGAATTTCTATGAACAATCAGCTCAACTAATGAATAAACCTATTCAACCTCTACTTCCTATACAAGTATATGATTTTATTGCAAAACTTTATATGGAATTTTTTTAAGAAAATCAATTTTAAGATAAAGCCTAGAAAATCTAATTAATTTTGGAGAATGAGATGCATAAAAATTAATCATTCATTATACTTATGATTAAGTGGCTACTAGAGTATTATAGATATTAAGTCAAAGCTAAGGAGCCTCAAATAAAACCTGTTTAAATAATGAGAAGAAAACTACTAATGACAATAGATTAAAATAAATTAGAAGTGAAAAAGTCTTCAGAGTCACAAACTAAAAGGATAAGAATGCTTAATTTATCTAAAACTCCAGAAAATGATTATAATACTTTGTCTTCATCTAATTAATAATCAACATTAAGAAGAAACAAAATAAATTAAAGACAGTTATACAATGTAATACCAGATTTAGATTGGGAAATACCATGGGATCGATCATATAAATTGTTATACAATAAAAACAATAGAATATCTAGATCTATATAAAAGCATTTCAACTGAAAATCAATAATTATTACTCATTTGTTATATATATATATAAATATTATTGAATTATTTATTCTATGTAAAATTTTAGTGATTTAAAATTAAGAATGTTCATATAATTAAATATATAATTGGTTTAATAATGTGTAAATAAAATAGTTAATCGAATTTTTATATATATAATCACAAAATAATTAGTACTTTTAGTACTTCTACAAGTATATCAAGAACTTAAAAATTAATCTTCTTCATCTGGAAAATGATCCTGTTCTAATTTATGTACTAGAAATCCTTCAATCTATCTTTAAATAGTTTTAAGGTCAATTGTTTTATGCAATTCAAAATTAAATAGATCATCATAATCTTATTCTAAATATGCTTTTGTTTCTTAACTAACATGCACAAAACCTTTAACTCCATTAGATTCCATTTTATTTGCAATTAATACATCTGGTCCATAGATATCATATCTTACAATATCTGTACCCATAACACCCCCAAAAACAGATCCTGTATGTATTCCTATTCTCATATTTAATCCATCAAAATTAATTTATTTTCTCACCTAAGTAATTATTTTAATCATCTCAAAAGCTAAATCTACTATGTTTTTTGCTTCTTAATGAGGATTTCTATTATTATAATCAATCATTCCAATTGCAACATAACAATCTCCTATTGTATATAATTTATAGACATTCAATTCACAACATTTTCTATCGAATTCAACAAAAAGATTTTTTAACATAACTAAAACATCTTCTGGATTTACTTTACTTGAATATTCAGTAAAACCAGCAATATCAGCAAATAAGATTGTTAACTTATCTAATTTATCACAAATTCCTATATTATTTATTTTATCATCTAAAAACTTATTTAAAATGTGTTTTGGCAATAAATATTAAAGTAATTATGATTCTTTTTATTATTGAGTTTTAAATATGTTTTTTTAATTAAAACAACTTACTTATTATTATTCAATAAATAATATCAAAGTTAAATTATACATAGAACTTACAAAAAAGAAAAATATACTAATCAATTAATTACCATCAATTATAATGATTATTATTGAGTAAAAGTAGGTGAAAAAACAAAATAATACTTTTACCCAAAAACTAAGTATTTAAATACTACAAAATATACATTATATGAAAACTATCTCATACACATGAACATTTTTTAATTCATCATTATCTTCTAATACTATAACTATTCCAGCTAATATAACTTAAAAAAATAATAAAATTTTTATTAGTATTTTCCATTTCTCAAAATTAGGTTTTCTATTAATTAAAAATTGAATTAAGTTCATTATACAACATAACCATTATAAAACAATAAGGCCAATATTGTAATCATTATAGAATTATATCTAACAAAATTATTTTATCATATAATATAAACCATATAACCTTAAATTATAAATTGTTTGACTCTTAGATTAAATTTTCACAAATTCCATATACTAATCATAACTTATAAACTAATTCATTTATTTCTTATAATAAGATATCTCTAATAACTAAAGGAATGAAGTTTCTTTTATTAAGTTATGTTCTAAAGTATATTCATTCTTTAATAAAATTACATTCTCTAATTAATTATATAGAAAATACCAATAACTATTCATAATCTATCATCTCATCAATTTCTGGTTCATAATTTTCTAATTAAAATCTGTTTTAAAACATAGTTATTAATCTTTTAAATGTACTTGGTTATTAAAATGATTATTGTTTTTTTTGTTTATCCTCAGAACTTTGTTTTTATATTAATTATAAAGACTCTTCCAAATTCTCATCCTATGATTAATAAAAGGCAGGATCAGTAGGTTTGATACCAAATACATTATGAGTACCATTCTCTTAAATTGATTCCCTTTTTTGATTCATTGTATCTATATAAGTTAAAATTGTCTTTCTCTTTTTTAAGTTTTTTTTCAATAATTCTGGATTCTTTCTAACCACATAATTGCTTCTTGCATCTTTACTTTATAAATCCTATTCATATTATATGGAGTGAGTATTATCTTTATTTTAAATCTTACATTTAAATATATAAGTTGGTCTAATACCCAATCCTTTCATTTCTACATTTCTTATTTCAAATTCAATATTCTCATTTTTAATTTAATCAAAGGCTTATTCTGATAATGTTATAGTATCCTCTAATCCTGTAGAACATACTCTACTAGTTGTATTTACAGTATCTCCAATTAAAGAGAATTATGGTTTATGATAACCTATGACTCCACTAATGGCACCTCCATAATGTATTCCAATCTTTCCAATTAATTATTATCCTTATGTACCCCACCTTAATGATATATTTAAATTGATTACTATTTTGATCTAATGTAATTCATCATTTATTCAGCTAAATTTAATGCTCTTTAAACAGGATCAACTTATGACAAATATGTTAATTCTTATTCACATGCCTTCAATCCAGCTGAAGCCAAATAAGTTTTTCCAACAGTTTCTATTTTTTACACTCCATAGATTTAACAATATTTATCAAAAGTTCTAAAGATATCATCTAAAAATGGAATAATTTTATCCTTTTCTTCTATGACCATTTAATCAAAATTACAAATATCACAAAATACTATTGCTACTAAGCCTTAGTTTTAATGAATATTGTATTAATCAGCTATAATTATTAATTTAACTTAAAATACTTTCATTTAATCTATCTCTTATAAATTTTGGTAATAAAATTCCAAGTATATCATTAATTTTATTATTTTACTCAATAAAATTTAATTTGTTTTAAGCCTAATCTTCTTCTAATTATATATACTAATTTTTATAATGATATATATTATTACATAACTCTTTATAAAATATTGAGATGCTGAAAACATTATTATAAATTACAATATTTAAATTAAAAAAGAAACATTTGATTCATTTTCTATTATATACCAAATTATATAACCAATAATTATTATTAAAGCTGAACCTAAATAAGTTCTATAATCATAAATAGGATGAAATTTTATGGATAATTTATAAGTAATAAAATACTACATAACCAAAGCAGAACCAATATTTTCTTAAGTATTTTATGTAAATAAAATTGATATTGTTGCAGCTGTTGCAATAATAAATTTAGTATACTCTAAATAATGTTATTTATTTGTTGGTAATTGAATAAATATAAACACAATAAAAACTATAGCTTGAAGACCAAAAACTATTAGATAATCTACTAAAAAATAATTATTTTTATCCTAATAGAAATACATTATTAACAAAAATGTACAATGATAAAATAACAATTAAAGACATTATACAATTTATTTTTATTTCCATTATAAAATAGTCTATGCCTTATGAAATATTTATTAAGTCCATTATCCAAACCTACTTTAATAATTAGGTTCATTAAGTAATACTAATATTAATAAATAAATATATACATTTTTGTATGCTCAAATCCACTTACTCAATATTATCAAAAAGAT